AAACATTTATTTCATTGAAGTAAACTAATATAGGCCTATTTATATTCACTGTACTGTGTATAACAAAATATCGATTGAGAAACAAACAATTACACGTAATAAGAACCTCGCTAGTCCGCTGCATTGTGATAGCTGAAAATCGTCGGAATGAAAACCGCCGCTACAAGATACAGAAGTTGGTACGCCTGCAGTGCCCTCCACAGCTGCGCGCGCCGCTGGCACTGCCGCTCAACACATCCCCACCTAAAAGACGAGCAAGTGGTAAGTCGGTCGGGAGGATTGACGACAAGTTGGTTTCTCGTATATAATAATTTAGATTTACAGGCCGGTCAACTGGACTGACGATGAAATAACTTGTCGACGTACTGGTTTTCAGTATTTATCTATTTAATTAAAAAAGACGGTCTAGTGGCAAGACGACCAAGTATCTTGTCGGTCAACTGGTGGCCCCCCTAAAAATAGATCTAAACAAATAAATGTAAAAGTAGTCTTTACTGAACAAGAAACATTAAGAAAGTTACATTTTGTATATAATTTAGAAGGAAAACTCCTCACAAGGAGCAATTTTTACAAATATATAAATAATCCAGACGATAGCAATCTTAATTTATTAAATTTTGTCTCACAGTTGTATGTTAGCTTAATATTGACATTCCACAATAGCTAGCCAATACAAATAGATCTACTATTTGTAAAACGTTATAAATAATAAAGTTTTATATTGCTAAAACAGTTTGCTGAATCAAACATATTCCAATGTATTGTTTATGTAACCTGATGTGTTGATGACATAGCTGTGAGCTCACCTTGAGTCAGTGAGGTTGGGCAAATGTGATTTGTATGCTGGACACTGACTTTAGCTACATACTGACCTCAAGGTTTCACTTTTGCCAAAGGTCTGTGACCATGTCTGCCTTTCTTTATAAAGGTTCAGAATTTTAAATAATTTTCAACACTAATAACAACTGTTTAGAATTTTTGATTAAAATTGTGAAATTAACTTTTAGCTGTTGTGGTGTAGGCTACTTAGGCTAGACTTTTTAAATTAAAATATTTGATATCAAGGATTAAAAATAAATATTGATTTTGGTTCAGTAATTGTGATTTTTAATTGTTGGTTTAGAATTGTATTTTTGGTTTTAATTTTTTTGTTAGCTAGGTTCTTTAGATAAAAATATCAAAAACTACATGATTGTCTTCTTAGCACAAAAATAGCAAAATTATGTTTCATTGCAAACCAACATTTTTATACTGTAGTTTGTTTTCCCTGAATTTTATAGGCCCTAGTTATTGACTTTTTTGACATTTTAAGTCTTCAGCTTTGTAAATGATGCAAAAATAATATCTTTAAATCTCGAAAACAAATTAATACAGATTTGTAGTTATTAGTAGCTTAGTATAAAGAGTTAATGTTCTAAAACCGGGTTTTTATCTAATAAATTCCTGATCAATCAACCCACTACCTATATAGGCTAATAATACTAGCTGTGTGCCCGTTCTACGCACGGGGATCTTATCATAGTCAGTTAAAACCTTCTTATATTAAGCACAGCAGTTGCATACTTTCAGATATGCTGACAAAACTATTATTGTATATATAAACCTTCGCAAATACAGTATCTGACAGTTTCAAGCCAAAACTAATGCTTCGCAATCAAATGTCACCTGGATCTTGTTGGTCCATATGTTAAATTACACTAAAAAATGCTTTATAGATTTAAGGCATAGCCCTAAGTTAGGCCTATGATTGAAAGTTACTTTCCACAATGGTTAAAAGTATTTAAGGTACTACCTCAACCTCACAATTTAACAGTTTATTTGGGTTGAAATTTTCATTATCAAGGTGCTCTTGTCCTTTCCGTGAAACACTGAGAAATAAGGACATTAATGCGTTACCAACAGACATACACACAAAAATACAGAACTTAATTAGGGAATTTGCTACGCTTTAAGCATAACAAAGTACGTATAAAATTAGTAGGCTATTTGAAATCTTTGTTAATGTCATAAAATTTTTTCATAACAATTTATATTTGCTTGGACCGAAGATGACCCGAAATTCTGTCGAAATGCTATATGAATCGGTTTGCTATATGAAATGAAGTACAGTACTATAGACGATTTAGATTGGTAATTTATAATAAAAATTACCAAAATAGACCACGAACTATTGATACATAAACAACGTTCAAAGTGTTTGAACAATTCATGATGGTTTGCTGAATAAATGTTTTACTAAAATACGTTATTGTTTTCTTAGCATAAACTAACATTTTGGAATCCAGACAGAAAAAACAAAACTTATACAGTTATGACATCAATTAAATTGAATACACCTTTAATAAATAAGGTGCAACACCAACAAAAACTAATTTGTAAATTACAGTGATCTGTTGGTACGTAAAAATGATTCTTGCTGCTACCAACGGTTCAAAGGAAAAGAACCAGTACCGTACCAAAAACCAACGTTTACAGTTAAGAACTATAGTACATCCGACCAATTATATGCGTAAATCAAGGTTATTGATCTCTTGGTTTTGGATTTTCTCGTCGTAAAAAGTTATCGGCAATCAAAGTTATTTCCCATTAATTGCTTTAATTGTAAACCACTCTTAATGTAAACTTATTGGCGTCAGTTTGAAAAAAAATCTTATACAACAACTTTCTGTTATTTAATAGATTACGTATTTCCTAAACAATGATTGGTATATCTAATAACATTAGAAGGAAATGTGACAAAAATCACACAATGTTGGGTTTTTGGACGTTTGTAATTTTATTTCTTAAGTACCTAGGTATGCCGTGTACCCTATTCTAAGGAAAAGTACCGGTATCAAGGATCGTCGTCGAAAAGGTTGTTATAAATAATTGGGTAAGCGTACGTATCCAAGAGATGAGCTATGGGCCTATTGGCTGTATGGTCCAGCGATTGCATCACACGGTGAGTAGGAACTATTGACTATATATAGTCAATGGTAGAAACAGAAAGTGACACATTGGAAAATCGAGTTTAGCATCATCCGTAAACCTCTGTTACAATCACCCACTGCAGTTGTGATTTTTTACTTTACACTTTACACAACTGCCATTGAAGCGCTGTCAATGAGTGGAACCTTGTTTCTAAGCTATTGGCGACGATCATTAATACATTTAAGTTTCCCAGCCGTATACAACACTGATTCAATGTCTTCTTTCTGGTTAAGTAACTTTCTAAGTAGTTTCTAACTTCATAAGTATTAGCATGGCTCAATCACGTCCTGGTTGAAGTTCGTTCGCTACGCTCCCTCACCTTTAGGTTGGAGCTCTTTTGCTGCGCTAACTTGCCTTTAGGTTAGCTTGTTCACTACGCTAACCCGCCTCCAGGTTGATGTTCGTTCGCTACGCTCACTCACCTTTTGGTTGCAATTAGCTGTGGTCATACATTTAAAAAAAAATAATAGTGATGCACCCTGTTGTTAAATCCTTTTAACTTTAATGCTTTTGAACATCATAGAACAGAACCAACTTGTTTAATTGAAACAGCTGTTAAGATTCATTAATTCCTTTTAAATATGGAAAATCATGAGGTTAACATGGGAAACTCTCCAGAGCCACTGGGGCGGAGCCCGAAAGGCCGATCAGAATAAAAACTACTTAGTTTTCCTATTTAATGCCCAAAGAATCAGTGTACCGAATTTCAGCCTCAATCAATCAATCAATTATCAATTATTTAAGATGGGGACGCTTCTACGTGCATATTTTAACCCAAATATGAGTGAAGGATGAGTGTAGGATGAGTGGCGCGATCTTGTAGTCTTGTTAGTGACTAAGGCCGACATGTTCCTTAGACACAGCTTTTTATTTAATTATTAGCCCATACAGCTAATGGCAACTAAGGGACCTACAGTTTATTGTGGAATCCGAACCACATTTTTTCCTCGTAATTAACAAATTGGTCTAATTATTAGGATAGTACTGCGGATAGTCGTAGTACTCACTAGCACGGACGTTAATCCACACCAGGGAGCATCGCATCCACAGTGCATCCCTATAAATATCCACAATTCGTGACCTCCTAGTAAGTAGCTGGATTACAGGACGACGCCCCCCGTCCCTGCCTCCTAGCTAAATGGATAGTGTGAGAATTAGTGATGAGTGAGTGAGTGAGTCAGTGAGGGCTTTGCCTTTTACATTGTGTAGAAAGATAAAAATATTAAAGCATTTGTCATCCCTTTTATTGTTTATAATACTTTGATAAAGGTTTTTATGTTTTAATATTCGACATTGGAGAATTTAAACGTTGTTAAGTGCACAGGTGTGCTGCGATTGGGGTGTAATACATTTGGACTTATTCAAAAGTAAAATAGTTTTCTGTGCTGCACTCTGTAGAAACACTGTGGCACTATTTCAAATCATGACTAATGCTAATACAGAATGTTGTGATTATTCAAACCTACAAAACAGTTGGTGAAAGTAAACATCTGCTTTTAAATTATATTTATTTTTAAACATTGTAGATCAAAAAGTCTGACATTGGCCCACTTAAAACCCTCTGGGGCAGAGCCCTTTTGACGAATCTGCACCAAACTTCACTCGAGCCATCCTTGAAAGATGCTTAATAATGCCTGAAAGTTTCATTACAATCTGCTGAGCGGTTTCGGAGTCCATAACGTATATACACACATACATGCATACATAGTTCCTCTTTTATAGATATAGATAGATAACAAAATATTACAGGACATTGATTTAGTATTAGCGTATTAGCCTACATTTTGAAATATGCATAATTTATAATGTGTGACTTTCTAATTATGAGTAAAATATAAGAATGAAAAAATCTTCAACAATACAACCCTGCCATAATTTACCCCATGATAAGCAAAATGAAAAGGAAAATAAAACACGGGCCTAAAAACGAGTCTGCAACCCAAAAGTTTTGCGATTTGATATTTGTTTTTGGGAAAAAAGACATTTGTGAAGAAATTATCTCTGTTATTATATTGTTGTGCATGTTACAGAGGAGGTCGCAGGATGCCGTTCCCCCCTCCACCACCACCGCCGGGCCCACCTCCACCCCCATCGTTTGCTCCTGCCCCTCCGCCTGCAGCAGCCTCTGATGGACGGGGCCTTCTGCTGCAGAGCATCCGACAAGGGGCCACTCTACGCAAGACTGTCACCAACGACAAGAGTGGACCGTTTATTGCTGGTAACTATTATATCAATTGGAAGATATTGATTCTCCCTTCAGATATTGATTCCACCTTTCCATTCAAATTTTCGACATATACAGTGTTTTAAGTCATAGCATGTTCAAAGTCTCCATCGCTTCTGGTCCCCTTCAACGCTTCCTTCACTTTTGGGAACATAAAAAATCACACGGAGCTAACTGCTAAGTCTGGTGTGTACGGTGGATGTTCCAACACAGGGATCTCATGCTTGGCCAAAAATGTCTTAATCACCAGTGCAGTGTGGGCTGGGGCTTTGTCCTGATGACGGAATCCACAACGTGTTCTTCCACAACTCTGGTCGCTTTCTTCACACTCGCTCACGGAGGGTGGCCAATACCCCAAGATAGTATTCTTTATTCTTTGTTTGACCTTCAGGAACCCAATTTACATCAGAATTCCATGGATGTCAAAAAAAATTCATCATGGCCTTGAATTTTGATTTTGACATTCAAGCTTTCTTCATTTGTAGTGAATTCGGACTCTTCCGAGCCAAGCTTTGGTGGTCGCTTGGTTTTTGGGTCATAGGTAAAAACCCATGATTTGTCACTTGTGAATAACTCTTTCCAATAGTTCAGGATCTCCCTAATGTTTTTTAAGATGTCATAACAGATTTCCATCCTTGACTCCTTTTGTACCGGCATGAGGATTTTTGTTACCATTTTGGAACACACTATTCTCATATTAAAATGTTCATGTAATGTTTGCAGAACTGATTCTTTGTCAATTCCTACAGTCTCGGCAACTACTTGGATACTCAATCGTCGATCTTGACGGATTCAAAATTGCACTTGATAAAGCCTCTTAGGCTGTAAAAAGGGTTTTGAATTAGCCAATTATAAATTCTATTTAAAAAAATATTATAACCAACAAATTTTGCTTATATCGTGCTTATATTTGCTTATATGTATGCTTATATCATTCAAAAACTACTGTAGTACGTGTCATACATTCTTCCCTAAACACTTGTTGTAAGAGAGAATAAGTTTCTGTTGTGCATTTATGTTGCTCAATTAAGACGCCTACCATTTTTCCGACGAGTGGCACATCCAAGGTCCAACAGGAACGAAGGCTGAGGCCCGACTGAGCAAGCTAAGCTCATCCAACTAGCTGGAATGTGGAGAGGGGATGTCAGGCCACTCAGCAATATGGTGCTTAACCTTGAGGCTTGCACGGTTTCCCTCACAGAAACCCAGTCCCGTTATTTTCTAGCCATACCGCCTTCATGAAATGGGTACTGATAAGTTAGTTTTCCTATTTAAAAGGGAAGTTTGACTTGAACATCCATTTGTACTTGGATCCATGAAAACCGTCTGGAATCAACCTTGAATTTTATTTTCATGACTTGCTTGACACTCCGAATATTAGTCTGTGTATTAGTTTTACAGAAGAATTATCACTCACAATGCTTATTGATAATATTTTAGATAATTTCTACGTAATTAGAGCTGTTACAATCTGTTTTTATTTGTTAATGGTGTCTTCTGAAACAAAGCTGTAAAATAATCCATGTGAAAATGTACTTGTCTTTAAATACAGTCTAAATTATAACAGATTTGCAGCTAAAGCTAAATCAACTTAAAAAGCAAGCTTCATTTAACTTGTTAATCATTACCTAATACAAACAAGCTAATTTACAAGCTTTAATTTCTATATAGCCCATAGAATTTAATTTTAAAATAAAAAAAAATAACAAAGAAAATATAAAATTTTAAATTAGGCTAAAATTAGAATTTTTCATCACGTCATGTTAAAGAAATTTCACTTTTAAAACTACTAATGAAATATTAACTAATACTATTCAGACTAAATATTTGTTAAAGTATTCAAAAGCAGGATAAATTAATTTATTTCAATCATCATCCAGAATAAACATTTAATTATTAATTCCTAGCTTACTTTATTAAGTAAATTTTGGAACTGATTACCACTCAATGTTTTAAAGGATTGGTTTGAAATTGAGGTGATAGCAGTTTCTAGCTTAGTTTCATTGTACAAACATTGACTGAAATAAGATAACAAGTAACACCTCATAATTGATTATCAATTGTTTACTTTGCCTTTATCAGGAAACCTACCTATTTTCTCTCAACAAGTAAGATTTATATTTATTAAGGTCATGTGATGTAATTTATTCAGAAATGTATGATTTAGCATTGTGTTACGGTTTCCTGTTTTCAGGTTTTCCTCTTCAAGTTAAATATTTAAAGCCACTTGGTTGCAAGAGCATATCAAACATTCAAAACTAACATAAAAATTATGTAGCATAAAGAATAAACAAATTTATTTTTGGCAAGTTTAAGAATATGTGGGAATATGTGATTGTAGGCTTATTTAATTTCCTTAATGTATATGTGATGATAAATTTGCTGTTTGTCTGTCATTATTTCAAACGTCACTCAGTTTCCAACTCAGATATGCTATCAATTATTTCTCTTTCCCTCCAGTCCATAGATGAAAAGTTACTCAGACTCTAAATTTAATACCGTATTAGTCAACCTCAGGGCTTTCCGAAAGAGAGGTATCGGAACTCTGTTGCGCCGCGTTTTCCCGCAAATCGAGCACTGGGTACAATATAGTAAATTTGACCATCCATTCCATGGTAAAGTCCAGTTTCTTAATAAAAATAACCTAGTTTTTAATCAAGTTACCTACTTAGTGCTGCTTTAAATTATCGTTTTCTTAAGACGGTGTTAACTGACACATACTTTCTCCCATTAGCTTGTCAACAACCCTTATTATGAAGCGATGGGACTAACTATGATATTTTACCGGGAAATTCACAAACATTTTAATAACTTTTTAACTGTAATTTTAACTTCATTGGGGATTGCACTATTTTGTTAGGTTAAAAGGACCATAACATACAAAATTTTAATCAAAATAGTTTGATAAGTTTTTGTGAAAATTAGATTTTTCTGTTATTTTATGGGAAAATAACCATTAAAAATCTAAAACAAAAAAAAAACTAGAGTCATGGATAAGTGTCCACATACTAAATGTCATTCGAATTTGGATCATAGCACTATACAAACACACCCCCACTCACCCACATATCACTTCGAAAACTACTTTTTGGGGTTCAGGGGGACCCAAAATTGACATACCCACTCAAAACTCAAATTCAAAAGTTTTGACAAAAACAATATTTTCTCTATATATATGTAGAGGGGAAGAAAGTAAAAATCAATGTCAAATAGAACAATATCAGGGTTTGGATCATTCCCTCCCTAAAATAAAATAAAAAATGCAATGGTGATAATAAACCCAAAATTTAAAATAAATTAAAAATATTTATTTATTAAAAGTTGTATAACGTCTACACAATGAGACTGATTGAAAAAGTTGGAATGGACATCATTGACAACCTGATGTTTCAACCTGTAAGATTTAACTGCTATGCGACTGTTACAGGGACCACACGACCGTCGAGTGGGAGTAGTGGCAGCAGTGGAGGCAGTTCAGGTGGCGGTGTTGGCAGCAGTCCCCGCAGTAATGGGATAGTCAATGGCTCAGCCACGTTGGGACGTAACAACGGACTGGCCGGCTTGTTCGCCCAGGGAATGCCCAAACTGAAGCCAACAGGAGTTGATATTGGTGAGTTATTTTACCATATTCACCTACCCTGAACACACATGTACAGTATATCCTCTCTTAACAAAACCCGCATGGGAGATCAAGCGTTGGTCAAATGACATAATAGGTCAATTATAGTGGGCATTTAAATATTTAAATTATTTTAGAAATAAATGTGTCATTGTTATAATTTTAATGCAATACTCAGCATGTTTTGTATCTAACATAGCCCAAGTAACTTAACAATGAAAGTGATCAAGTACTGGTACCTACTTGTATTACCTGAACAAACCAACTGTCCCTTATTAAAACAATCTCTTATACTACTGTACTCCACATTGTAATCTTGAAAATAGGAATTTCTTCTTGAACAAAGATATACAAAGTAAAATTTTTTCCAGACTTAAAATCACTGCATTTTATAAATACACACATGCCATCGGTAATGTCTTTTAGGTCTTAGTTTAATCATAACATACTCTAAAAGTTTAAGTGATTTACAAATTAGTCAATCCTTTTTCCTATTTATTTTCCCTGTGTTGTTCAAAACAAAACCAAACCAGCACACTTGTTTTATCTATTACTTTAATAATAATTGGAACAATAGTCTCTAGAATGTCTAAAAAGGTTTGTTAAGCTAACCCAACCAGTCTTATTATCAAACGGATAAACCAACCTCTATTTTTTGTCTGGACTAGGCCTATTATGGTTGATCCAGGGTTGTTTAAGAGATGGTATACGGTAGTCTGTTAAACGCAATAATATGATCCATTAAAGCATGAGCTCCACTGATATAATCTTTTAATTATGCAACCAAGTATAATTTTTGTCACTTTACATTGACAAGTTTGATTTATATTGGTTATTTGATTCTGATCGAAGTCAACTGATAAGTTTGGTTGCTAATAAAGAGTTTTCAATCTGAAATATAAATAGGCCTACAGATAAAAAATCCTTTTAATTTCTATCACCAGTAGATTGCTATACTAAGATAGTAAACAGGACAACAATTGAAAAACTACCAATCATTATAACCTCTGGATTGTTTAAAATACCGTAAACAATTGATACTATGAGGTCTTAACCTAGATCCCGACTTATGATGAACCTTTGGGTTTGAAATCGATATTGTTGGATAGACAACATTAGGATTGCTAAGGTAAAACCTCATAATATCAATATTCAAAACTTATTGAGGTATTTATTTACATCAATTTGTAATTCCTAACAATTGTTGGATCTTTATTAGTCAGATTGAAAATTTTAAATGTGAATGTTGACATATTATATATTTGACTTTTAATAATTTTTCAAAGGATTAAGTTCAGTTAACTTAGGCTACTTGAGAAAATTATGTTCTAGGGACTTGTAGAAACAAAGAAATAGTTCTCCAACATAACACCGATATTTCACCCTAGGACTAGTCCTAGATATGTTTTACATTTCAGAAAGTATAATAATGATATATACTTGCACTTGTATCAGTGACTAGACATTTTGCTTGGAAAACACAGTCGTATCACTTAACCCATTGGGGAAGGAATTAATGCACTGCCTGCAGCCCCCTCTGTTGCAAATTAACTTTCCCTTATATGTAGACTTTTACTCTAATTGTTATAGAAAGAAAACCTTAGGTAATAAATTAATAATTCTTTCACCTTCTGTTCACAGTGAAATTGTCTACAAAAAAAGTGGTAGTTGAATAGTCAAAGTGTAAAACAAACAAAAAAAAAATATAAAGATTATAAAAATACAAATTTTAAAACAGATTTTTCAAAGTAAACTTGATTTACAAATTTCAAGATAAAGTTCAATTGATTCCCTACGTAGAAAAATCACAAGTTGTGTACTTTTATAAGTAGTTACATGGGGAAAAAATTGTTTGTTTACCTTATCGCAGCAGATTTTTTTTTATATCTTGTTTCCATGGCAACACAACATTGTTTGTTTTTTTGTTTTTTTTGCAAAAATAATTGAGTAAATACGCAAAACAAGAAGCAAGATATTTATAAACATAATAAAAGTAAGAAGACACAATAAGGGGGAAATTATAATAATAAAATAACTAATGGCGCTGCGTAGCGGTGACATGAGCGGCACTCATAAGTCGGCGCCAATGGGTTAAGAGTTTCAGTTCAACAGTTTCAAATTTTAACAGACATTTGTCAGCCTTAGATAAAATTCTCAGATTTTTTTTGTCTAGGCCTATGGTTATTTATTAACAAAGTCTAATTCATCCTACAATCATTGTAATAGAATCTTTGTAAATCGTACCAGTAAGTAAGTTGAAATATTTTGTCAACAGGTCAAAACAACTCTCAGTCTCTTACGTCTCTGCCCTCTGCAACTAGCACTTCAGGAGTAAGTTCATTTTTAAATATTTTATTAGCACAGTAGAACCTCGATCAACTGGGCGGATCAACTGGGCGGCGGATCATCCGTAGTCAATAGATGCCTCTTAATTTATGTTACATTTAACCTCAAATAATCCCAAGAAAATTTTTTAAATTATATTTCTTCAGTCTAATACGTTGAAATGCACTGTTTATTACTATTTCTGACGATTTTTCTCTGCAGTAGGTTCCCCATTATTGTTTTTGATACGAGGGTCGTCTCAAAAGTAAGTTACACCTATTCCCAAAATAAATAAAAAAGCCAAATTTGGTTTGAAAAGGGTATATTTTAAAAGATGCATACATAGACTATTTTTCTACGTAGTAGCCATCTTTTTCAAGGTATTTTTTATAACGTAGCAACAGTTTTTTTAGTCCAGCATCATACCACTCTGCCGCCATTTTGGTTAGCCATTGTTCCACCTCCCGTTTCAGTTTGTTTTCGTTTTCGAAGCGCTCCCCGCCTAAATGCCGCTTCAACTCCGGGAAGAGATGAAAATCACTTGGAGCCAAGTCAGGAGAGTAAGGTGGATGGCCAAAAACATCCCATCGGTGTCAATGACCTTGCGGACATCTTCAACAACCGTCAAAGCGCGGGAAGTGGACGGGCGGCCACTTCGTCGTTCATCGTGTAACGATTTTCGTCCATCAATAAACGATTGACGCCAGCGGGAAACCATTGGCCTAGACATCACATTTTCACCATAAACACTGCACAATTCTCGATGAATTTCGATCGCATTTTTATTCTTGGCAGTCAAAAATCTAATTACTGCACGGATTTCACAATCGGCGGTGGGAACAAGTGGTGTCTCCATGATGGCCGGAGCGATACTGGAGGGGCGAGTGCCATAGGCGGCCGCGACGTTTACAGTGTTGCCACTACATCCAGACGAAAATTCCCCGCAACTCCCAGCTTTCTAGCGCTCGACGCTGTGATTTAAAACAAATGTGTAACTTACTTTTGAGACGACCCTCGTACATCACAGCTCATTTGACAAAACTAAATGGAAGCAAAACATAGAAATGGCCATCGAGAGCTCCAAGGTCAAGCTATCCGCTTGTACTGACAATCATCTGCTCCTTATACTGTACATCTGTCTGCTGTGCACTTGCTATTTGATGACACACAGCTTTAACAACACACAGAGTCACACCACAAAACACTAGTGGTAATAAATCAACCCAACAGCAAAATTAACTGTCCACCACTACCACAGTAATTGTGAGGTTAAATTCAACTGGTGCACTCAACATTTGCAACAGTCACATTTCTACAAGCATTTCTTCACTGTCTTCCAATGGTCTGGTGAATATCATCTTGTGATAAAACACCATAGAATGAAACCCAAGACCCCTCCCTGATCATGTGCTTCTAAACACATGAGTTCTACCCTCCATAAAGATATCATCTGAAAGAGAAATGTTGTCATGTCATGTTCAATTAAGTGGGTTGCAGACCTAAGACTTTAAAAACACACAGGTCTCTGGAGCCTGGGTGGACATGCAAATGTAAGGTAGGCCTAATATATGTCGCCAAGCTCTTAAAAAAGAAAAGACCTATCTTTATAGTATTTGTGTTAAAATGTATAGAGTGAAGCTCATTTTTTGTTTGCTCATATGGGTTTTCCACTTTGGTGGGTATTGTTTATTAATCGAGTGTTTAGTGTAAAACACTAAACATTTGAGGATTGAAACAAATTACGGATCAGAAAGACGTTGTAACTTGTGTCCATATAGTAATGGGAATAGAAATCATTAGACTTGGGATTATTACACCTAAATGTTGTTTCAGAAAACAGACCAACCAAGGAAGCAGTTCAACGTCGACATAAAAAATCGAGGTCCTCCTCCCAAGCCACCACCTGCTAATCAGAAGCCTACCATGCCTCAGGTCTGTAACCAGCGTGAGGCCAGACTTAGTTTTATACCAACTAAAATTATAGCTTAAAATACTCAGGTTTTTACACGTTTAATAATACAATTTCAAACTGAGTTCTTCACACTTAATTTTATAGCTGGAAACAATGTTTGGATGCTTGAATGACTATTGTCTAAAAGTAGAGATAAAGTTTCGATGTGAATAAAACCTGAGTTTATCTTAGCAAAATATACTTTGGCCCTCATACCGGTTTGATGTTTATGCTACGTTTTAACTAAACATGTTTGTGTTGCGAATACTTTGAGTGTATTGACAGATGATGACCGGTTTTTATATTATATTTTCATATGGTTATTAGTTTATTCAGGAAAAGTTTTGGAGTGAGATACACATCTTATTCAGCACCTAACCTAACTCTCCATCAATAGTGTTTGTGAAAAATTTACCATAGTTAACACTAGCATTATAACAATGTTTCTGTTTACAGAGGTATCTAGGTACAATACCAAAATATTGATTACAATTTCACATTTATGGCATGACTGAAAGATGATATATCTAAGTCATTTTCAACATCTTATTTTTCTAAGATTACTTTTTTGACCTGTTTTACTAGTTTATAGTAGTTTATAGCCACAAACCTGCCTGTCAAATAGTAATTGCATTTGTGAAAAACTGTATGAATTATGTTCTATACCTTTAGCAATAGGGAAGTGCTCCTCAACACCAGGAAGGCTCACGCACACATACTCAGTCCTCACAGACACAAAGGCAGGAGATTAGGAAGGATGTTACTGTATTCCTTTCCCTGATCTGTTAATTACCCACAATTATCATAATTTTCTCTATTTAATGTAAATGTTGTAACTTTAAACCTCGAAATTGTGAGCAGAAATTGATTCTGCTCATCAACACTAAAAAATTGATACTGTGCAATATCCGCTGATTATTACGACTAGTTTTTTTTTTCTTTTTTTCATTTCATGTCTACATATTATTATAGGCCGTCCATTAAGGGTTAAGTAAAACTTGGGTTGTTTAGTACAAACTTTTATAGTTAAAACTTAAAATACCCCCGCCACAGCAAACCTGCAGACTAAGCGAATTTCAACTTGTCTGATTACATTTTTACTCAAATATTTCCATAAATAAGACATATTTATTCCCTATTTAAATAACATTAGATTTAACAAGTGCTTAGGTTTGCTGCTACGGGGAAGGTAAAAAGTGTTTTTTGATCATACGTGAATAGTATGGGATGAAATAAATAAAGTTGCCAAATTTTATCAATATATATCCATAAACAAGTAAACTACAACAATTTTTATTTTCTCCATAAGAATAACATGGGAATTTTAAATTAAACTATTAATGAATTTTCTCCGTGACCGTTAGGCATACAACAGCGCTTCAATATACTAAATTATTTCTTTTTTTAAGCTCTACAAAACGGTTTAGAAATAAATTGCAAAATTTTTTGTTTTTAGGGTAAAAAATGGGAAAAACACATTTTTACCCCATAAAACCCCCCATAAACCCCTGTTCCCATGGTCCGATTATGCTAGATCGCGAACTCGTTCGAATAAACGTAGGTTTACACGTTTGTACCCGATATGGGAAATTCGCTAAAACTACAGTTTGTTTAGAAGTGGTATATAAAATAACTAGGACTAACGAAGCAAAAATACAGCCAGTCTAGGGTCTATCCTAATTCTCTGTGCTGGGGAGAATGAGAGTATGTTATGTTTCTACTGATCATTATTACGAGGGCAGTTTGGTTTGCATAAGAATCCGTAATTCCCTTGTAAACCACAACGAGGCTCCTTGCCACTTACTGGTATCGTTTGTGAACAGAATGACACAAATTGTGACAGCTACAGAGCTGTAATTTGTGTCATCCTGTTCACAAATGATGCTAGTAAGTGGTGAGGAGCCTCGTTGCTGCTTACAAACAAGCAAAATACGGATTTATACGCAAAATCGGCCCTTATTTAAAAAAAAAAAAACACTCCATTTTAATACAGTTTTGTAAAATAATTCTATTATTTATTACTATACAACATCACTTGTTTTCTTTTGTAGGATATCTCTTTTTTAGGATCGAAGTCAAAATTGAATCAAGAGGATCGCAAGAAGTCTATTTCCTACAACAAATTAGTTTCTCCTCAGATTTACAAGCCACAGATCATCCCTAGACCTAGAGTGTTGTCACATGTCAGTTCTGAAAACCCCTCTACTGAGCATGGGGTATTGGTGAAAACATCTCTTTCAAAATCTATGTATTCCCTGGCAAACATTGAACCTCAAAATGCCTACACCACAGATACTACAGACATCAAGTCATCTGATATCAAATTTACTTTGACACCAATAAATTTTCCAAATGCTAAAACTCCCCCACGGTTTGCTCCTGCACCTCAGTCACCTGTTTTCAAGTTTCCCCCTCCTCCAACATCAAAAGAGCTAGGTCTCAACTCCTTTGGCACTTTCCCGTCTCGTGTGTCCCTAAGACCTACAGACACTGTACGCTCGGAGAAGCCGCTTTCAAAACGCCCATTGTTCACTATCGCTCCGATTCAGTCACCTAATGTGAACAACTACCAGTCTCCTTCCCCCTCGCCAAACCGTAATGAGTACAATCGTTACAGAGACTCATCTATGACAAAATCTAATCTTCCTCAGAACCAGTATCTACCCCCATTACCCACCTCTCCGAGACCCAAACCATCCACTTTAGCACCCTCTACTCCTGTTGAGTTTAAGATCCAGAGACCTCGTCTATCTTCAACTTTTGAGAAGGCAGAATCTTCAACGGTAACAAATTCTTTCAATTGGCTCTTTGCTTCAACGTTGGTGTGTCCGTGTGCTTTCCAATGCAAGTTGATCGTCAAAATGTAAAGTGGCTATTTTTTGGTACCTGAGGAGGCAGAGTCTTCAATGGTAAAACTTTCTATTGGCTATATGCTTCAACATTGGTGTGTCCGTGTGCTTTCCTGTGCAAGTTGGTCGTCAAAATGTAAAGTGGCTATTTTTGGTACCTGAGGAGGCAGAGTCTTCAATGGTAAAACTTTCTATTGGCTATATGCTTCAACATTGGTGTGTCCGTGTGCTTTCCTGTGCAAGTTGGTCGTCAAAATGTAAAGTGGCTATTTTTTGTACCTGAGGAGGCAGAGTCTTCAATGGTAACTCTTTCAATTGGCTGTTTGCTTCAAGATTGGTATGTTTGTGCACTTTCCTGTGTAAGTTAATTGTCGAAATGTGAAGTGGCTGTTTTTTGTAGTTCTTTTGTAAGTTATGTACTGTCTCCCTGGGCAAGTTTATACTTTTTTACAGCAGAGCTGCTTCGCAACTATTTATCCTGTCTTCTCTTCTCAGTGTCTTTAATCCATCTCCAATGGAAAGGATAAATTCTTAAAAGTCAGATTGACTTATACTCTTTCACCAACCACAGATGTCTTGTTGTCACATATTTTTAATATGACTGTATTGTGTTGCTCATGTTAAATCATTTCTTTATCAGCATTGTACGTGTTATTAAACTTACGGAAAGTAAATAAAAATATGTCTAATAATACTTAAAACTTTTAAAAATATTATTAGAAGTATTTTTATTTACTTACTCATGTTGTAAATATGTCTGGGCTTCATTGTTAATATTTTTAATTTGATGCTTTATCCTGAACTGATGTAATGTTCTTCATTGTATTTATGTATTTATTCCTTACTAGTTGTTTATTTTTTTATTTTTATTATTGATGTTCATTATTGATGTTCATGTTACTAAGTGTTGCTTTGATATTTTCAATTTGTCTTTCAAAATTATGGAGGTCTTAATTTCCAGTATGGTTTTATTTGTAACAATATGATAAGTATCTTTAATTCATGCCAAAATCAAAGGAATTTTTATTTAGTATCCAGAGGATCTAAAAGTAACCCAATGTTACTCTTGAGTGATTAGTTGTCCACTATCTAACCAGCTAGTACAATTGTTGGGTGTATTCAACATAGGTCACATAATATTTATTGTAGACAAAATTTAAAAATATGTTTGCATCTGTTCAATTATTGTTTTCAGGACCTCTACAATAAGAATTTTCTTCTACAATCAAATACAGGTATTTTAAATCCGGTTACCTTTTGTACTTTCACAAAGAGAAAATAGTAGAGTTTTAATGATGTGTCAAAAAGGTGTGAAAATCAATCATGCTTGTCCCCTGGTTAGTTTAGTAAAACATCTTTTTTCATACTTAAAAAAGTCCACCATTATTTTATGATAACACTGTACGGTGTATATTTTTGGTGTATATAGTCATAGTTTTAAATCATAAACTCTGTCTATAACACTACTCATAACTCTACTACTACTATACTCATACTATAACTCTGTCTATCAGTAACATGTTAGGTGTTTACAGAGTACGTCAGACTCGGTTCTGACAGGACCGATACACAACCGGTCCAATAGCACGACCAGTCTTAATAGCAACAATGGCTCGTGGCAGGCGGCTCCGCGAGCAATGAAAGCACCTCCAGGTGGCCACGGGAAGCCCAACGTGGCACCCAAGCCACCAGGCTATGTCGCCAAGAGTCCTGGCAAGTTAACCAATGGACGGCCTAGTGTGACTAGAGCTCAGAGTATGAGGGCACCTCGCTCTCCACCCGTCGCCCCTCCAGGTGAGGGACCGTAAACATCCAATTCTCAAGTTGTAGTTGTTGCTAGTTTGAATTAAAAATGAACAAACGTAACTGAGCCATTGACAGAGGACACAGGTACTGACAAAAATATGTTTTTATGTTACTTGAAAGTGGTGCTATAATTTATACAAAGTGTTGCTCTGAGTTTGGCTTTTTTTGCTGGCTGTTTTTTACAGAAATTAGTAATCAATCTACACACTCGGTAATGGATTGTTTTGTTCTACAGGGTGTCTAGTAGTCGGGAAACGATGACGTTTCCGAAACCACGGGAGACGACGAAGACGTTTCTGTGACAGCGGGAGACGACGATGACGTTACTGTGACCGCGGGAGACGACGATGACGTTTCCGTGACCGCGGGAGATGACGATGACGTTTCCGTGACCGCGGGAGACGACGATGATGTTTACACGGCCGCGGGAAATGTTCATGATTTTGCCGTGATCGCGGACGACGACGATAACGTTTCCGAAACCACGAGAGACGACGATGAAGTTTCTTTGACAGCGGGAGACGACGATGACGTTTCCGTGACCGCGGGAGATGACGATGACGTTTCCGTGACCGTGGGAGACGACGATGATGTCTACACGGCCGCGGGAAATGTTCATGATTTTGCCGTGATCGCGGACGACGACGATAACGTTTCCGTGACCGCGGGAGATGACGGTGATGTCTAAACAGCCTCAGAAAATTTTCATGATTTTGCCGCGATCGCGGACAACGACGACGACGTTTCCGTGACTGCGGGAGATGACGATGACGTTTCCGTGACCGCGGGAGATGATGATGACGTTTCCGTGACCGCGGGAGATGGCGATGACGTTTCCATGACCGCGGGAGACGACAATGACGTTTCCGTGACCGCGTGAGACGACGATTATATCTGCTCGGCCGGGGGAAATGTTCATGATTTTGTCGCGATCGCGGACGACTACGATGTTGTTTCCGTGACCGCGGGAGATGACGATGACGTTTCCGTGACCGCGGGAGACGACGATGATGTCTACACGGCCGCGGGAAATGTTCATGATTTTACCGTGATCGCGGACGACGACGATCACGTTTCTGTAACCGCTGCAGTCAATGATGATGTCTAAACGTACGGTACGCGGAAGATTTCATGATAAAAAAAACCAAATTTTATAGTTAGAATTTGTTATTGCTGCATTATTCTTTACTTGAAAACACCACATTATCATAATACTACTTTATTAGTGTCGGTATCAAGAATCGCGAATCGATACATTTTGGTATCAACACCCACTAATTGTTGAAAAAACTAGTCTTGAGAAATCTAGAATTAGTCTTGAAAAGTCTGGAATTAGTCTTGAATTTTATAATGAAAATAAACTAGACACCCTGGTTCTATCAAAAGTCAAAGTAAACAAACATCCAGTAAGTTTTAGCCAGTTTTTGACTTAAAATAAACATAGATTGAATTGTGCCATTGACCGATTGTGCTGCTGTCAAATACTAAATAAATACTAAACAAACTGAAAGAATGACATACTTTAAACTGTATTGATGTAACTGTGTTGGTGTTACATTATTAAAGAATCTCACCTAAGAGGATGAATAGAATTTTGACATTTACAAATTCTGTGTGTAGCTCATTACACCACAGAAGAACTGTTTCAGGTTCTTTTTTAGTGAAAAATTGGCTGCTCATAGATGGGAAGTCTACTCTGGTGTTTTAAACAATGCCACTACTAAGGCCCAGCGCACACGGTGTGACTGTTTTACAACTTTCGTTGCAAACCTCGGCAATGTATTGCAGTGGGGAGGCGCACACGACGCAACTGGTTGTATGCGATTTCAAAAAAAGTTTGAAACCAGTCACATACAACCGTGGGCCCGACGTTGCAGTTGCGTTGCAGACTTCAGTTGTACAAGACCACGGGTGTTTTTGTGGTGTTTGGTGGTATTTGGTGGTATTTTGGTGGAATTTTGACGGCCGTATAGTGTTTTTAGTGTTTATAATTTCCTATCCGACTAGCTCTAGCTGCTACACACAGCCTAGTACTAACATTCTTGCTCAAATAAGGGTGAACCCAATGTTCTCTCAGAACCCTTCGCTGTTTTCGTTATTGATAATAGCTAATAATGTCGTCTTCGTCTGAGTCCGACGTAGTAAGCGCACTCAGGGCCTTAAAACAACGTAACTGCACTAAAATTGCACTCCACTGATTGCACAATAGACGCAGCTGTAGTTGTAAAACAGTCACACCGTGTGCGGACAGAAGTTTTGTTTCAAAACGGTTCCAGACGCAACTGGTTTGCAACAGTTGTTGTAAAACAGTCACACCGTGTGCGCTGGGCCTAATACTCGCCTCTTCCCACTTTTGCTTCTCATTCACTGTCATATTAGGCTTTTTGTATAATTTAGTACAATCATCAATGCTTACAGTCATATTTGTCGCAGGACAAATGCCCTTGTTACCAAACCAAAGTGAGCTGTACAGAGGGGCGCCGATGTTCCATCAGTCACAGGACTCGTTGCTAGCCACTCCTCCTCCGCCCAAGCACCACACGCTGCCGTCACCTCGGGGGGCCCCGCCACACAGACCACTGAGGCCCCCGCAGACCCGCCCGCCTCCTCCCCCTCCCAACAAGGTGGTGATGAGCAGCCCTCCACCACCTCCGCCTACACAGGCACCTCCCCCACCACCTCACAGAGTGCCTCCACTGATGCATAGGATACCTGCCCCGCCACAGGCTGCGGTGAGTGAATACAGTATGTCATGCCAAGGTGATAGTAAAGATAGAATAGATTTCATTAAAGCACCATTGAAACCTTCCCCGGCGAGTATGATACTTTTGAGCATACTATCAGCAACAAGTATACAGTACAGAGTAAGAAAAACACAACACACATTAGTATAAGTCAACATTTTAAAAGAATTTTAGTACTATTTTTAAAAGATAAAATTGTTTAACCTTTACAATGTGTATTGTAACAGTTCAATGTGCCTGTTTAATATTTATTGTAGGGATGGACGAGATTGGATTTTTAGTTCAAGACAAGACGAGACAGGATTTTTATTTATCAAAAAATGTTGAGACGGGATTTTCCTTCTTGATCATAACAGTAAATGCACTTTCGACATTTTAACCTGATTTTGTAACATTTTGAAATACCTACTGATTTATGACAGATGACTGGTTAAATAAGAAACTAATAATTATAGACAAGAATATTTCAAATCTTTTATAAAAAAAAAATAAACATCAGTATAAAAAAACAAATATTAATAAGGCCTACCTTATCAGAAATAACTCTTCTGCATAGGAATCATGGTGATATCAGTTAGGATTAGTGGTGTGCGATGCATCGAAAATGCATCCAAATATTGATTCGATTCGATTCAGCATGCATCGATTTCGTCCCGATGAATATATAAAACTAATTTAGGCCTCTAAGATGAGTTTTGGATAGGGATTTTATGATTGTCAATACCACCGATACTTGGACATTGGTATCGGTAACAATGATTTATAACGATGGCTAACAACTTTAGTGGCGAACTTAGAACTATCAATCAATCAATAAAATCTTTACTCAGAACGTACAGATACATCGTGCATGAATGCGTCATTATGTTTTTTTTATAAAATAAACATATTACTTAAAGTAAAAAAATTATATAACAGCAGTTTTTAGATAAAATAAATACATTACTTAAAGTTAAAAAATGCATCCAAACTGTAAAAAGAATTTGCTATTAAGAATGCTTTCAGTTTATTTTTAAACTAGCTGTGTGCCCGTTCTACGCACGGGGATCTTAAAGTAGTCAGTTGAAACCTTCTTATATTAAGATTAAGAACAGCAATTAGTTTGCATATTTGCAGATATGCTGGCAAAACTATTATATATAAACCTTCGCAAATACAGTATCTGACAGTTCAAGCCAAAATAAATGCTTCGCAATTAAATGTCACCCGGATCGTGTTGGTCCATATGTCCAATGATTAAACTAAAAAATGTTTTATAGATCCATGAAGCGTAGCCCTAAAGTAGGCCTATAAATTGAAAGTTACTTTCCACATCGGACGTATTTAAAGTACTACCTCAACCTCACCATTTAACACTTTATTCCGGTTGACATTTTCAGTATCAAAGGTGCTCTTGTCCATTCCGTGAAACACTGAGAAATAAGGACATTAATGCGTTACCAACATACAACAAAACAACACAATACAACAATCCAACAAAGGCCACGAACTATTGATACATAAACAATATAAAGGCGTAAACAATTCATGATGGTTTGCCCAACAAATGTTTTACTCAAATAGGTTATCATTTTCTTAGCATACCGGGTAAGCTAAGATTTGGAATCCAGACAGAAAAAGCAAAACTTATACAGAGTTAAGACATCACTTAAATTGAATACGGACGGCTCTAATAAATAAGGTGCAACACCAACGATATCAAATTTGTAAACTACCGGTTCTAAGGAAAAGAACCAGTACCTACGTAAGAACCTACCTAAGAACTATAGTAAATCGGACCAATTAAATACATTAATATCTAGTCCCGAGGTTATTGATCTCTTGCTTTTGGATTTTCTCGTAAAAAGTTATAGCGTAAACTTATCGGTGTCAGTTTGAAAAAAAGCAACCTTACCCAAACAACTTTTTGTTATAAAATAGATTACGCATTCTCTAAACAATGATTAGTATATCTATTAACATTAGAAGGAAATGTGACGAAAATTACACAATGTTGGGGTTTTGGTCATTTGTAATTTTATTTTTTAAGTAGGTAGGCCATGTATTTTATGGAAAAGTACCGGTATCAAGGATCGTCGTCAAAAAGGTTGTTATGAATAAATATGTAGGCTTACGTACCCAAGATATGAACTATGGGCCTATTGGCTGTATGGTCCAGCGATTGCATCACACGGTGAGTAGAAACAGAAAGTGACACATTGGAAAAGCGAGTTTAGCACTTCCTCTGTTAAACCTCTGTTACAATTAGGGATGAGCGATAAATCACAGACTGTGATTTTGTCACCGATATTTTTAAGTCGCAGTCACAGTCTGTGACACGATATCAAAAGTAGCAGCTACCGGAGTCACAGTCTCTGTTCACCATTTGCAGTCGCAGTCGCAGCTTTTTAGTTCAAAATATCGACTGTAGAAGCGCGAGCAGCGCTGTGACTGAGCGAGTCACAGTCTCTGTTCCCCAGTCGCAGTCGCAGTCACAGGCTTTTAGTTCAAAATATCGACTGTAGGAGCGCTGTGACTGGGCTGTATCCGCCGTCCTTGTAAGTGCTGCTCTCTGTATCCTTCGGATTTTGAGCAGTCATTAAACATTTTACCATCCTTTCATTTAATCAATGCTTTTCTATAACTTTTTTTGCTATAATGACTTATCTTTGCTTATACTAGTAATAAATTAATAATTAAGTGATTGTAAATTTATTTGTTGAAGGAAAATATAAAATATAGGTCAAAGCAGTCTTTCATCTTTCATCGTATTGAAAATGTATAAATACAATGATGTTTAAGAAACACTTATTTAAACATTAAAAAAATATATTATTACAAATAATATATAGCAAAAATGTTCACGCAAAGTAGAAGTATTTTATTTTATTATACACAAGAAATGTATTATATTATATATTATTTTACCCACAATAAATTACTAGGAATTGAATCTGTTGCATCGTTACATATGCATATATATTAAAATTATTAGTAAAATATTAAAGGCGTCTGTAATAAAATACATAAGCAAATAAATAAAGAGGTCGCAGCCGGCAGTCAAAACAGGATGATTAAATGCGCATGATTGAGACATGTAGCAGTCACAGTCACAGCCCAAGTCGCAGTCACAACAGAGAGAGTTCAGGCGCAGTCACTCGGACATGTAGCAGTAGCAGTCGCAGGTACGACAGAGTAGCGCGGCAGTGATATCGTCAACAGCGCGAGATCACAGTAGCAGTCATTCGGGGTTTGGAGCAGTCACAGTCACAGTCGCAGTCACAAGTAGCTGGTTAGCCGTTCGAGTGATGCACGCCAATGGCATCGTCACAGTTTCGTAGTTTTGAGTATCACCGCACGGAGCGCCACCATAGCATATATCGCTGTGACTAGTCACCGATATTTTTAACCGATATTTCTTTGTCACAGTCACAGTTCCGAGTGATATTTTAAAGTCACTGATATTCTCATCCCTAGTTACAATCACCCACTGCAGTTGTGATTTTTCACTTTACACTTTACACAACCGCCATTGAAGCGCCGTCAATGAGTGGAAACCTTTTTTGTAAGCTATTGGCGACGATCATTTCAGTGTCACAGCCCTATACAACACTGATTCAAGGTCTTCTTCTTTCTGGTTGTCAAAACTCAAGAAACATTTTATACTCAAAGAATTTCTGGTTCCGATTTGGACGATGTCTAGTTATTTAATTTCATTTACGGTTACACTATTAGACTATATTATTGCACTTGCGATTAATTAAATCCGTTATGTAAGAAAAACGTTTTTAATCTCACTTGGTTGGGATTTGCTTTCAAAACGTGATTCGAAATAGTTGCGGTATTTGTAAACAACATTTGTAAACATGTCATTGACAGCTAGAAAAAATAATCTTGATCCGAACAGCTGTTCGTTATTTCATAGACGATTATCTGATAAAAATTGAACGAAAATTTGACAAAAATCGCACAAAACTGCATTTTTGAACGTCCGTAATTTTATTTACAAAGTAGTGAGGCTATATTTAAATCACTAAAGACACTCTCGCCAATCCAGTGAATACATTAAAATGACTTGGATCTTGTTATGTACTCTGGTTTTCACGGAGAAGATTGCGTAAAATGCCATCTTGAGTGTTACAGACAAAGGGACAGACAGACAGACAGACAGACAGACAGAAATTGAGATAAGACTCGTTTCTGCTTCTTTAATGTATAAAACGTAAAAATAACCTAAAAGTATATAATTCTGAGCAATGTACAGACAAAACTCTAATTTTATTTATATAGATTTATTTGTGCTCTGCTCCTTCCTTATGCTATCTGGGAGTTGATGGATAAATTTAATGCCAATATACTGAGGACTTTGCTTTTATTTTTATTTTTTATGATTTTTAATTGTGAAATTTTGTTTATATCTAGTATTGTAATTGTGGATATCCTGTTGTCGCTCTAGTTTTGATTCATTATTTTTTACATAAAGAGTTGTTTTGTTTTATAAATTTATAAACACAGAACTGTTAAAATTTCCAAATCTTTTAATGTTGTTTTAAATAATTTTTGCTAGAGGTTCTTTCTAAATTTAGGATGTGTCTTATCACTTCCATCTGTAGTAATAAAATTCTTTTTAAATTTAGATTACTATTTAGTTCAAAACCGCTACGGTGCCTTTGTTTAGCTTCAGCTGTTCTCCCTGCAAAGCAGATGATATTGCAATACATTTCAAGATGTCAGACAGTCAGGTCAGACTTAGACAACCAGCACTGATCAATGTCCTGTCAACACAAAATTATACTAAAAAATGTCTGTATCAATAAGTCAGACCTTTAGATGTATTATTTTTATTTTTAGTACAAAATAAATAACCTAAACATGTCAAAATGTTCAGTTTCATCCCTGCATTACGCATCAAGTTAGAAAAATTAGATTCAACTTCAACATTGTCATAGGGTTAGGCTTGCCTTACATTGCGCCAAAAAGTAGATCCATACTTACCTAGTATCTGTAGGCTACTATCTACCTAGTTTAAGAGTTTAGTGAAGTTTTAAGTGCTACTATAACATAATGTATTGATTGTCGATTTTTTAATATTATAATGAATGGTGAATGTTGAGAATCTAAGATAAATCAAAGTATGTTTACAAGAGTTCTCATTGGTCGACAGGCTACTATCTACCTAGTTTAAGAGTTTAGTGAAGTTTTAAGTGCTACTATAACATAATGTATTGATTGTCGATTTTTTAATATTATAATGAATGGTGAATGTTGAGAATCTAAGATAAATCAAAGTATGTTTACAAGAGTTCTCATTGGTCGACAGGCGACCCTTCACTAACATGTCAGCCAATCGGCATTCGTGTTTCAAGGGAGCAAATGATGACAATTGCTTTGACGTCGTTTTATGTGAGTCTATTGTGGGAAGGGTATCGATAAATATCGAGATCCGATATGTAAGACGTGTTTGTTTATAAAGAGTATAAAACTCAGAGGTTACAAGTTTAAAACAGTGTGAATTTTGTGTGTCTCCCAAAGACCTAGATTCAACGTATAAACAAACATGTATTGGTGTATTGTTTGTTTGCAGACCATGGATGCAAGATTACTCCTCTGTGTTGTGTTTTGCATAAAATATTTATTGTGATCTGACATTTCAGAGTCCGGCCCCCCCTCCACCACCTGCAAGGCACTCATCCATGCGCAACGGACTCCCTCCCAGCTTCTCAAGTAAGTGTTACATGGTTCCTTTCTGTTACAGAACAAAACCGACATAGACTTTCATCCTTAAGCCGAAACCTGTTTTCTTCACAGTAATATTTTATGTGATCTTGCAGCAATATTTTCTCAATACTTCTGCAAATATACTAATGGAAATATTAACCAGTTGATAAATAAGACACAATTGCATCAAAAACATAAGGAAGAAGGGACGGTACACTACTAACTTACTAAGAAAAGAGTTCCAGACGGTTAATAACACAAAAAGTAAAGAGTCAATGCAACTTATCTATGCTCAGGTGATGGGAACTAGCCTGGCCAGTTTGTTACAAATTCAAAATCACCACCTAACTTAAATATTATACAAACCATTCTCTACTCCTGAATCTCAGAACTAACTTAAACATTTTATAGTAAAAATACAATTAATATTTAGCAATTGGAAACTAGAAAGTACTCTAATGCGTTGGCAAGACTGATATAGAAAGTTCATATACAGTGCCAGTTTATAACTACAATCTATTAATTTACTTCCTTCTAAAGAAGCCCCCTTGTCGGGACAGAATATTAAATGTTTTGGTCTGTCTCCATCCGTGCCACGTCGCAGCCGGTAAATATTAGGCTTACTTTAAATGGTTTTCCTGAGGGTTATGTTCCATGTGTATTCTTTGAATGTAAATGGCGAGTCGATTATTAGATGAAACATTATTGGAAAGGGACTTGACAATGCCTGTATAGGAGTAAAATGGTCTGAGTCCATTTCCAACCACTAATTTGTTGAACTTTTGACGTAAATGTACCTTATGTTTGTTAAATATAATGTTGTAAACGATTTTGTGTGCTGTTACCTGCCTTGAACACTTTTCTTCTGCAAGCAGCTCTGTATCCATTCCTTCTTCATTAACAGTCCTAATCCAAGTATTCTTTCCTCAAAAAACAAGTTATTATATATATAAAATAATTTATACTTAGATATTAGGATTTGGTGTTACTTATTGAAAGATTAAATTACTTTTTTCTGAAATGTTTTTGTGATTTGGGTTTGTAATTTTGTTTAGTCTAAAAATGTCTATACCTAGCCATGAAAAATAAATAAAATCATGCAAGTCATTTTGAGAAACTACAACTGTATTAGGTTAATAATTCTTAGTTTGAGGGATTTTTCAGAGGTATAGTTACGCCTAATTCGTTGTCTTATGAACTCGAAAATGTAAAATGTTATGAAATAAATATTTTGTAGACACACATAATCCTACACAAATATAACTTGTCTTTTTAAAATCTTTTTGTTTAAAGATTTTATTGTATTTTGTTGAATTATTTGTGTTTATGCAAGTGAACTGCCTTAATGGACTGTTTAAGGTGAGAGGTAAAATTTTTTCATTTGAAATTGATTTTACAACTGTAGTAAGTTTTAAGTATGTTTGGTATTTAAATTGTTTATGTACAAGTAGGGCAGTATTTTTATCCTAATCCCTTTTTATAACAATCGGTTTTACAACTCCTTAAATGACAAAATATGTATTTTAAACTGTCTGGAGCACAAATCTAATAACAATAACTAGGGATTTGATAATTCTCGATACCGATACCTGTCATACCAATGTGATAGGAAAATTACCGCTTTTGCCGTGAACAAGCAAGGCGACGACGATGACGTTTCTGTGACCGGGGAAGACGACAATGATGTCTACATGCCACGGAAGATGTTCATGATTTTCCCACAATCGCGGACGACGACGATGACGTTTCAACCCTACTTTATCCTGGTTAATCGGGAGTTGAGTGTACATCCATTTTATATTTATAGCGTCTGTACTTTCCCACCTATCATTACATTAGGGTCATAAACTGTAGTCATCTAGTAATAAATGTCAGCATCGGATATGTTTCTTGTGGTCAAAAATGTATCACTGATCTTATGTCACACACACCAAGTGATTCAATAATCAAAAAAATAAAAACACAGCGAATTGTACACTTCAGCTACATAGCTTCGTTTCACAAATGATATGCGAGGAGGAGCCTCGCTGGCAGATGCAAACTACGGAGCTATACGAAATTGGCCCTTAAAAAAACCACCCTCCCCTCGTAAAAGAGTATTGTATTATTTGTTTTGCCTCGGAATTGAACCTTATCCAAATGCACAATTTGCGCAAGGGTCCCCTGATTACTAGGCCTAGTGTATAGTGATAAGGTTTTTGTTCAAATTGTGTTCATTTTGGTAGGAATATTAACTAACCTTGTAGGTTAGTTTGGTATCCTCTCAAAACCCTCATCACTGTTCCCCTAGTTTATTTATTTTGTGTATGTTTGTATTGCCTCCTTACATGCCAGTGTGATAACTATTTTGTCAACTATATTGTTACAGTAAAAGTGAAGTAGTTAGAGTACCATTTGGAACATCTAATCATTTGGACCCCCCCTTTTTCATTTTAGTTTTGGTTTTTTTTTGTAACTACAATAACAAACAGAGAGATGTTGCAAAGTTAAAAATAAATGTTAAAGGATATTTTAAAGGGAAAAATGTAAGCTTCCCACTGATTTAAAATAAGCACAAATTTAGTTTACTAATTTGTAACAAGACCTACGATTTTTTGAATGAATCAGTGTCTGATAGAATTTGTTGAATTAATGTAATTTGTTATAAAAAAATACAATTGTTTAATTCATTTCAACAAATTTTCCATATAGCTTATTATTTATTACCGTAGGCCTCATGGTAAGACCTAGACCCAGGACTGATTTATATTTTTTTTTATGTCCCCAGAGGCGAACCTATATTATATGTCCGTTTGCACAATAACTCAAGTAAATTTGGTACAAAAGTGTAAACCTACAGTAATTTGAATCTGAACCAGCATGATCGGACCTTGGGAACAGGGTTTTATTTGGATGAAGGAGTTTATGGGGCAAAAATGTTTTTTTTCCCAATTTTGAAATTTCTTTCCTAACAATTTATTTTGAAAAAAGATTAAGTATATTGAAGTGTTGTTGTATGGTTAACAATTAAGGAGAAAACTCTTAAAAACTGTAAATTTACAATTTTTATGTCATTCTTATGAAGAATAAGCAACAGTTGTAGTTTGGTATGCTACATTTATGATTTAGTTATAATTATTTTCATTTGCTGAAAGATTCATTGGATTTGCAATGCTACCTCCTCAGGGGGCATCCGCTAGGAATCGGAAGAAAACCGAAACGTAAGCAAAGGTCAATATGCACATCAAATTTAAGGTCTTTTTTATTAGATTACAATGCCGCAAATTCAAGCACAAAACAACAACTGAGTAAACATTTGCAGCCGTTAAAAGATTCAAAATGGCAGATTCAAGATATCTTTGAACAGCTACCATTTTTGACTCGGTTGTCCGTTTGAGTTCAAATTCACAGCATTGTATATTTTGCTAATAAAGCCCTTTAATTTGTTGTTGTGCTAAATAAAAAATACACCTTGCAACACTGTTCAATGATGTATTTAAACTTAAATAGTTTAAATATTACAAATGCGGTAAGTTAAATTTATCTAATAAGACTTTAAAATGTCGATTGATTTCAACCAGTTACTCCATTCAGTTTCCCATTGAGCAAATGTTTACCGTATAAAAGATGGATGTATCGAAAAGTGTTGAGGAAAACTATATTTATTCCCCCTTGCAGAAAAACTCTAATAATTTTATAAATTTTAGGCAAGTTGGAGGCAAGGTTCTTCGAAAAGTTCCACATGAGAGAAGAGTTCTCCCCTCCACAACCTTTCTTGAACCTCAGTAAAGTCTACAACAGCAGAACAGGTTGGTAAAATCATGGGTCTCGATAGTTAATAAAGGCCAATTTTGTGCTGTACTGTCGTCCTAACAGTGAATAGTAGCATAGCCGTCTCTAGTATAAGGCTGCAGCCTTCGATGTGGTTCAACTCCAGGTATTGCCGCCAGCGGCAAAACGTGCAACATTTTGCCAAAACTGCGCTTATTCGCATTGAAAGCTATGAAAATTGAACCAGTCCAATAGATTCATTTTTAGCATGAAATGTTTCAGATTGTATTACAAAATTCTAATTAATACATGTTTACATAAACGTATGTTCACCACTTAACACGTTCGCTGCTGACCGCTAGATGCCTGGACGGCGCCAGGAGCTGAACTTACGCTCGCCGCTGCGTAAGCATTGCTGCCGATACACTGAATTACAGTAAAAACAACAGTAGTTATACTGGATGGCATTCATTATAAGAGCAAGCCTTTGAACTCCTGCTAAAGCTTTGACAGCTATAGTAGATTCCATCTTTGGCCACCACACAAGCGAACCATAAGTAAGGGCAGATCGAACAACAGATACATACAGCCAGTGCAAAAGTTTAGGCTGTAACCCCCATGTGCCACTTACCATCCGCCTGCATGCCATAAGGGACCATTTGCCACGCTCAGTGACTTTTTGAAGATGTGGTCCCAGTGAAGTGATCTGTCCAAAATTACACCAAGATACTTCACCTGATTCTGCAGCTCTATTACAGTGCCCTGCAGTCTTAGTGGGCCGATCCCATCCAGTTTCCTCCTTCTTGTGAAGGGTACCATTACAACTTTCCTGGGATTTATAGAGAGCCCAACTTCCTGGCACCAACGGTCCACTACCCTTAAAGCTCTATTCATAAGGTCAGTTATGGTTCCGTGGAACTTTCCAACCACAAGGATTGCAACATCATCAGCGTAACCTAAGGCAAAAACCCCACTTTCATTGAGGGTCCTTATAAGGTCATCTGCTACCAAATTCCAAAGGAGGGATGGGCTTATATGAGGGTGAACCGATCTGTAGGTACTGTGATAGGTCAGAAGAGACAGCTGATCACTTACTCTTTGATTGTAACGAGCTCTCTGACGCTAGATTGATAACTCTTGGAAATATGGCTATAGGTAGATACCTTCCTGAGGATGAACAAATTGGGAAGCTACAGGCATTCATTGGGCGCCTTAACTTGTAGGTCAACAAGAAAGCAATTGTCTGGGGTGCGCAATAATTCGATTTTGGATGAAGTGCTTTAAGGTAACCTGCCCCTGTTAGATAAGATAAGACTGGATGGCAATGTTCTGCAATAAAACTGGCTTTAGACATAGTACTAAGTGATTCTGATAGATAGCAGCACTACCTAGGTTGCAGTCGGTAAAGTAGTGTCGCTTTCTAGCAGGAAAGAGGTGGGACAAAGCCCTGTTCTATATTTTTGATATAATTATATTTTTTACTAGCTGTGTGCCCGTTCTACGCACGGGGATCTTATAGTAGTCAGATGAAACCTTCTTATATTAAGATTAAGAACAGCAGTTAGTTAGCATATTTGCAGATATGCTGGCAAAACTATTATATATAAACCTTCGCAAATACAGTATCTGACAGTTCAAGCCAAAATAAATGCTTTGCAATTAAATGTCACCCGGATCGTTATGGTCCATATGTCCAATGATTAAACTAAAAAATGTTTTATAGATCCATGAAGCGTAGCCTTAAAGTAGGCCTATAATTGAAAGTTACTTTCCACATCGGTTAACTTAAACGTATTTAAAGTACTACCTCAACCTCACCATTTAACACTTTATTCCGGTTGACATTTTCAGTATCAAAGGTGCTCTTGTCCATTCCGTGAAACACTGAGAAATAAGGACATTAATGCGTTACCAACAGACATACACACAACAATCCAAAAAAGGGTACGAACTATTGATACATAAACAATATAAAGGCGTAAACAATTCATGATGGTTTGCCCAACAAATGTTTTACTCAAATAGGTTATCATTTTCTTAGCATACCGGGTAAGCTAAGATTTGGAATCCAGACAGAAAAAGCAAAACTTATACAGAGTTAAGACATCACTTAAATTGAATATGGACGGCTCTTATAAATAAGGTGCAACACCAACGATAACTAATTTGTAAACTACAGTTATGTGTTGGTACCTACGTAAAAATGATTCTAGCAGCTACCAACGGTTCTAAGGAAAAGAACCAGTACCTACGTAAGAACCTACCTAAGAACTATAGTACATCCGACCAATTAAATACATTAATATCTAGTCCCGAGGTTATTGATCTCTTGCTTTTGGATTTTCTCGTAAAAAGTTATAGCGTAAACTTATCGGTGTCAGTTTGAAAAAAAAAACAACCTTACCCAAACAACTTTTTGTTGTTTAATAGATTACGCATTCTCTAAACAATGATTAGTATATCTATTAACATTAGAAGGAAATGTGACGAAAATCACACAATGTTGGGGTTTTGGTCATTTGTAATTATATTTCTTAAGTAGGTAGGCCATGTATTCTATGGAAAAGTACCGGTATCAAGGATCGTCGTCAAAAAGGTTGTTATGAATAAATATGTAGGCTTATGTACCCAAGATATGAGCTATGGGCCTATTGGCTGTATGGTCCAGCGATTGCATCACACGGTGAGTAGAAACAGAAAGTGACACATTGGAAAAGCGAGTTTAGCACTTCCTCTGTTAAACCTCTGTTACAATCACCTACTGCAGTTGTGATTTTTTACTTTACACTTTACACAACCGCCATTGAAGCACCGTCAATAAGTGGAAACCTTTTTTGTTAGCTATTGGCGACGATCATTTCAGTGTCCCAGCTCTATACAACACTGATTCAAGGTCTTCTTTCTGGTTGTCAAAACTCAAGAAACGTTTTATACTCAAAGAATTTCTGGTTCCGATTTGGACGATGTCTAGTTATTTAATTTCATTTACGGTTACACTATTTATTAGACTATATTATTGCACTTGCGATTAATTAAATCCGTTATGTAAGAAAAACGTTTTTAATCTCACTTGGTTGGGATTTGCTTTCAAAACGTGATTCGAAATGGTTGCGGTATTTGTAAACAACATTTGTAAACATATCATTGACAGCTAGAAAAAATAATCTTGATCCGAACAGCTGTTCGTTATTTCATAGACGATTATGTAATAAAAATTGAACGAAAATTTGACAAAAATCGCACAAAACTGCATTTTTGAACGTCCGTAATTTTATTTACAAAGTATTGAGGCTATATTTAAATCACTAAAGACACTTCGCCAATCCAGTGAATACATTAAAATGACTTGGATCTTGATAGGTACTCTGGTTTTCACGGAGAAGATTGCGTAAAATGCCATCTTGAGTGTTACAGACAAAGGGAAAGACAGACAGACAGACAGACGGACAGAAATAGAGATAAGACTCGTTTCTGCTTCTTTAATGTATAAAACGTAAAAATAACCTAAAAGTATATAATTCTGAGCAAAGTACAGACAAAACTCTAATTTTATTTATATAGATTGTCAGAAAAGTACGTCCCCACAAGCTGCAAAGAAATATAGGACGCTTGTGACGAGCTGGCTGATTCATGGCAACGTTAAACAACAATGAACGGCGACGTTCCGGAACGTTCCTAAACTGAACCTTTTTGGAACCTAACAAGTTTATGAAAAAAATATACTATTAAAAATAGGCCTAGGCCTCCCCTGACATTCTTTTAAATTGTATTATGAACTGGTCGTCCATTGGTTGAAAACTCAACCAAAAATATGTAATGTTCAGAACTATCTATTTTTAACCCACACTGTAAATAAAACATGTGATTGCAGTTTATTCCATTTGTTTTGATGTTCTGTTCATTTTGTTGTTTGTTGTTCAGCATGACAGCCCATGATGTCCATGTTAATTTTTTTTCATGTTTAAGGGATTCTGCACATCAACAGGAAAATATATTTTAACAGTATGCGTAGATTTTCCCTGCGATGTACATGAGCTGAGGAAAAAGATTTTAAACAAATAATCCTCAGGGTGTCCGGTCATAAGTGTTAAATAAAATTTTGCATCAAACTACATGGTAATGGCGACATAATGACGTACATTTGAGGTTCCCAACCTCAACCGTTAGGGAATAACAAATAAATTAAGATTTTTCAAAAATTATTGTAGTTGTCATAAAAAAGGTTATATTTCTCTGCTAAAAATGCACCAATTGTTAATTTAAATGTCATTTTCATAATCCTCACAAAATTTTAAATAGATATAACACATAATCGCTGGGGTACGGAAAAATATTCTACTTAAATTTCTTCGTTAAACAATTATTTTTAATACCGACGAAAATTTAAATAACATTCAGCGATTTATTTCTCAGTAACCGAGATCCGCTGAGTTCAACAAATATCACTAAAAACTTCCTCATTTAAAGGGCTTTACAATGGTGTATAATAGTTTTTACCAAGTTTCAAATTTCCTAATGTAATTCAATCATTGTTGTGAAAAAACATGGTTGGACAAAGAAAAGCTATTGCAAAGAATAACTGCAGGCAACGAATAATTTGTATTTTTTTCTCACATGCAACGCTTTTTTTATAACTATTGAGCTAAGAAAAGAAACATACAGTAGCAAAATGGGTTTGTGATAAAGTTACGGTTATCGTATATTTTTCATATTTCAGATAAGATTTCAAGTTAACTCACAGAAGTTCGGTTGTGGCTATACCAAAACTACCCGACATGGATTGGACGTGGAGGAAGTGTGACATGGCCTCCACGATCTCCAGACTTGAGCCCGTTAGATTTTTTTGTTTGGGGTTACATGTAAAGTCTAGTTTACTCAACTGTTGTAAACTCTGAAGTTGGGTTACGGTAGAGAATCTTTGAGGCTGCTGGGAAAGTAAGGGGAAAATTGCCGTATGAGGTCACAGTTGGCGCGATTCAAAAGCAAGCTAGGGCCTGCTTGCGGGAAAACGGAGGGCACTTTACACCCAATCTGTGATTCCACCTTAATAAAAGTTGTGCTTCGGACGAAGTATGTCATAGATTTGATTTGTATTGTGTGTTTTTACTAATGTATTGTGTTTTTTTAATAACAAATTTTCCAAAGTCTAAACAAAACCTCTTTAGTTTGATAAAAGTGCAGTCTGGCCAATCACAAATTACACAAACCCTCATCATCAGTGGTCAGCTCATAAAATAGTAAGTAAAATTCATTATTTTTTACATTATCTGTTTTAGTTTAACCGTGATTTTTCACAATAGTACGTAAAATTCACCATAGATTTGACAGTAGATAATTGTAGTTATACATCATTGTAAAGCCCTTTAAATAAGGAAGTTTTTAGTAATATTTGTTTAACTCAGCGGAACTCGGTAACCGAGAAATAAATTGCTGAATGTTTTTTACATTTTCGTTGATATTAAAAATAATTGTTTAACGAAGAAATTTAAGTAGAATGTTTTTCCGTACCCCAGCGATTATGTGTTATATATATTTAAAATTTTGTGAGGATTCCGAAAATTACATTTAAATTAACAATTAGTGCATTTTTAACAGAGAAATATAACCTTTTTCATAACAACTACAATAATTTTTGAAAAATCTTAATTTATTTGTTATTTCCTAACGGTTGAGGTTGGGAACCTCAAATGTACGTCATTATGTCGCCATTACCATGTAGTTTGATGCAAAATTTTATTTAACACTTATGACCGGACACCCTGTATATAGATGATATTATAATTTCAAATTTAAGTGCGAGATATGCAAAGCTGTTTTATATTTAAATTTTTTTGTCATTGAATGTTCATGCAAAACTGTACTAAGGTGGAAATAAAAAAAAAATGCTACACCTCTGACTAAATGCATAGGAAATGTATGCAAAACCAGACAGTTTCCTGGTTTGAAAGGAAAACTTGTATTTAACTAATAAGTATGGTGAAGAATATTAAACTACCTTAGCTCGTGCTAGGGAAATTACTGGATATAATGTAAAAAATATAAAAATATAAAGATGTACAAAACACAACTGCGTAAGACTTGGAAAACATCTTGCCTACTTAAAATATTGCAAATTATCAGTATCAATAGTGTATTAATTTTTCATTTTGATAATACAACATAAAAGAGGTAGCCTAAAAAAAACTGTTCATACTATATTACTATTGCTATTTTAGTTTTATATATTTATCCAATATGTTTTACGTTTAGTTTTAATAAGTAGGAAACGTGTATTTTTTTAATCAGAACATGTTACTTGATTAAGTTTAAATGTATAGCTCTAGCCCACTCATCTCGACGCGGACCTTCTAGAGGGAAGTGAAATAATTGTATATATCCCTCAGTTTTTAATGCTTTTGTGTGGTTACAATAGCACCCCGGCACGATATCACTTATGAGGCATAACACACCGTCACTACGAATACCATATTGTCTCTAATTGTGTAAAACAAACTGGTTAATCACGGGTGGGTGATGCGCCGTCTAGCAGTGCAAACTAATGGCGGGAGCCGGCTGGACTATGCCTCGGATGCGACGTTGCCAGATTTCGCTCGGCGCGGCCTTATACGAGAGATGGCTATGATAGTAGTGATTATTGGGTTGTGTGTTACATCAAGTTCATTTCTGTGTTTGACTTTCTCAGTTGAACTTGACTTGTTTAGCACTTCATCGTATTAAATCAATTTAATTCAGGTTATATTTGCCACTATCGAGACATAGGAGCTTTATCAGACCTGAGACATGGGGAACATAACAAAGCTTCATCGGTTAATCTTTTTTACCTTTTAGAGTTTTTGGTAATCTGACCCATAAATATTGGATTATCAAGTAAACTGTACACTAAACAATTTTTCTATGTATACTGTTGGATTTGATTTTTAAAAAAATATCGAAATGTTGTCCTACAGCCAAACAGCCGGCGCCGCAACCACCCCAAAACCAACACATCCAGCTTCAATGGCCGAGAGATAACAGTTCCACTTGCTAGCGACTCATCAACTTAGCTCCACCCCTCTTGCTCAATCAGGGTAATCCCTTGCCTCTCTTCCTCATCTGTCTTCTATCTAGCATACATTGTTATTGACCTTGTTATCCCAGTTCCTCATGTATTGAGAGTGTGCTTTCAATAATTGTTTTTAGACCAAGCAAAGTGTTGTTAAGTAAGTTATATACAGTAAAACTCCAAGTATCCTAACTCCAATTAACCGAATCTCCAATTATCCGAATCGCTTATTTCGACAATTAAAAAAACGTAAAGCTACAGTAATAAGTTTTGCAAAATACCAAAGAATTGTTACTAAACACATTTAGCCAATTTTGAACTTTGATGGAACACTATTGACTTAATAACATGTATAGAACACTTGTACTATGAGCATTGTAAACTGTAAAAATGTTCTGATTTAAATTATTATTAATTAAAAGTTCACTTAGTACCGAAAATGAGGATTTTTTAAAAAAACCCGGGATTACGGTAAAACTCCGATTATCCGAATTTTTGATTATCCGAATGGGGTCTGGTCCCTATTGATTCGGATAATTGGAGTTCTACTGTAATTTCTTGTTAATCGACCATTTGAGGGTTTTGTTTAACATGTTAATTTTCATCTATATAATCATCATAGTTCCATTTCCAAAATAAGTGTTTTCTCTTGAGATGAATTTACAAAAATTTTAAAAGAAAATACAAGTAAATATACATTGCAATAAATCAATAAATAATCTTACTTGTACACTCTTACTACATGGGAAGAACTTAAAAATGTTACCTAAACAAAAAAATTGTATTTTGATTAGTGATTTATTTTTTAGGATTTTTTCAGATTATGTTATTTATTATATTTTTTCCTACCACTGCATGGAAATGGTCACATTACCATACCCAAAATAGCTTATTGTCGCCCTAGAGCGGGAATGGATCATTCCCGCTAATTAAATCAGCAGATTTCACAGTTGTCGTTTCTACACCAACCACAGCCGTAGATCAGGTATGTTAGTTAACAACCCTTAAGCAAATAACAACAAATAACCTAAACTTAAAAAGCAAACATAACCTAAATTACATTTTATATACATCTAAAAGTTCATCTGTGTATAGGTTCCCATAAGTCAGTAATGGTGGTAGGAAAAATCTTGTGTATTGCAAGCAAAAACAGCTCTTTGACACATAGTTATTTCAATAAATTTGTTCCTTGTTTATCCAACTATTGCTGGACATAAAGGCCAAAACCATATGTTTTGTGACTTGATTAGTATTTTTACATTTACTTTTACTAAAAATTTGTGTGGCCTTCATTGGGCCTGTTTAGTCAGATGTGCTTTTGTTCAGATGGCTTTTTATTTACATTTCCCTTGTAAATGTTTTGTTGAACAATAATAGTTATTTTAACATGTTTTAAAAGGAAACAAAGTTTTTGTCTTACCTACATCTATTGAATAAATTTATTAGTTTATGATCTTTGATAAAATAATGCCAAGTTTCTTACACATTGGATAAAGAAGGTAAGATAAACATTTTAGTTTTTGAAGTTATTCATATTCATCAATATAGTCCTAGTTATTTATATTAACATTATATAAAATTTCTCATTATGTTTTTCTATATTTTGTTTCAACTTTTTTAATTTAATCTAAAATTATACAAATTATTACTCGAGAGCAGATTAACTGCTAAATCGAGGGATGTGTCTGTTTTCATTGTTTAATTATATTAATAAACTATATTTGGGTTGTTACGAGACATAAAACGTTATTTCTTTGGTAGTAAAATGTGGATTTCATATTTAATACAACAAAATGCATCTGTTTTATCCTTGCAGTGGAACAAAAGTATTACTACAGTATGTTCATTTTAACATTCTCCACAAGACTGCAAACAATAGTATTCAACTGACCTGCTTATTGTTGTTTTAAATTTGGTTTAGGTTAACTTTTCCTTTGTATTTTTATAACACTATCTAATGCACTTTTATTTAAGCAATTTATTCATATTATTTCATTTACCAACATGTAGGTTAAAAGATACCGGGTGTCCCACGAAGGGGTTTAAACGTTTGATTTTATATTACGTGCCCATTCATGCACCAAATCTTTTTAAACTTTACACAGTTTACAAAGTAGGTTCTAAAAATATTCTGGAAAAATTTCAACTCCCTAACCTTAGTAGAAACAAAATGGCGGCTTATTGACAAATTTACCAATGTGCTTTCTATAAAAACTACTTTCATGATTTATTATTAGTTATTTATTTATTATTATTATTTATTAGTTATTTGATTAATTTTTAGTTTTCCATTTGGCTATGTTCTAATTTTTTCTTTTTTTAAAGTCATATTGCCCTGGAAAGTAACAATAAAAATATTTTATAAAACCAAAAATACCTTTTTTAATGTTTTAAAGTAACTTTTTCAATATGCCGCCATTTTGTTTCTTCTAAGGTTAGGGAGTTGAAATTTTTCCAGAATATTTTTAAAACCTACCTTGTAAACTGTGTAAAGTTTCAAAAAGTTCGGTGCATGAATGGGCGCGTAATATAAAATCAAACGTTTAAACCCCTTCGTGGGACACCCTATTAGGTATATATTTATTAAATTTTATATATTATTTATATTTTAGTTTAACCAATTTATTTAAAGTATGCTCAAAAAGAGTGCTGGAAATATTGTCAGAGAATCAAAGTTCTCATGATTCAATTAATTTTAGGCTCTCTGATAATTCCAAGATTTTAAATTGACATTTGGAAGGTAGTTTAGTCTTGCTTTGCCTTTTAGCTTTATATAAGATTTTGGCTCATCGTTTATAATTTTAAATGCATTAATTAATCAAACTAATTTATTTTATTTTACCAATGGATTAGTTTTAAATTTATTAACATTTAGAATACATGATGGACATTTGATCATGCGACAGAACGACCACTAGTGGTTTTATAGTTAAGAAAAACATAATTTGTGATAACATGATATCAGTACATAATTATTTAGTATTAAACTCTTTAAACTCACTTAATATACCTCCTATATAGGAAAGTATGTCATTTACTTTTTCACTATCTCTATTTATTTCTTCTGTATTTATTTTACGTTTCTTCTTAGCTGTTTGGTAGCTTATTGTTTGTTGTGTTTTAGGTTGGTATATATATTATAATTGAGGGTTTGAGAGTTTGTTTGAAGGTTGTGTAAAATTTTGTACTTAACCATGAAACTTTAATTTGTTTGTGTAACATTTATTAATTATTTTACACTCAGACAACAACGTTGTTGTTTTGTAAACTAAGTTAACCTAGTCAGCAATTTATCGAGACACCAGGCAGTGAAGTGCATGTCTTTCTAAGAACTCTTATTTTCATCACACTTTTTATTTTACTTGACCCTGTCTTCCACTTGAATCATGTATATCTAAGATAGCAACTTTTATTAATATTCAAACCAAACTAATAATATAACCACTTTTTCTTTGTTAGAAGAGACATTGCATATTTTTCTGCCCTGGGCAGTGCCTGTAATAGTATTTGTAACATTATTATAATATTAATTGTACATAAATATCAGTAAATAATACTTGTTATCAGTTTAACTGTAAATACTAAATTGTAAATGTGTATAAAACACCGATATCGTCTACCAAGAATGTATATTGCATACACTAGGGCAGATAATCATAGTCTTAGGTTATGGAAATATGTTGATTTAATAATAACAGTTGTGTTATAAGTTTGCAGTTGTTCATTTTTACCCCTGAGCCCTGATGTCTTTTAAACCGATACTTTATACCTTTTATAGGTAGAAAGTAGCAAAACGTCTGCTGAGAGTTGCAGCTTGCAATGAATCCACAGTGATTCTGTCAACCTTCACCAGAGTTGTACTTTTCATTTGTTGGTAGGCCCCTCCCACTAAGCTCTGGCACATGTGAACTCCTCGTGGGGTTTACGCCTATAATCTATTTTCAGAGACAGGATTAGAAACCTGACATTCTGGTAAACCCAACATTCTAAGGCCAGGGTTCCCAACCTTTTTACCTGGGCGGGGGGGGGGGGGGGGGAGAGAATTGTACATTTTTGGTTATATTTCAGTTAAGTGCAGAATGTTTTCTGTCTCCAAGTTTTGCTTACATAAATAATTAATGGGCAATACACATTAATGACAATCACTTTTGAACTGTAACTTGTACAGCAATAAGAGATGTACCGTTTTGTTTAGAGTTAAAACTAACGCCAATGGGACTATTTATCGTAAAGAACAAATTACCATTGTAAATAATAGTTGTTAGCGTAGCAACTTGCGCCAGGTAACTGCTAGTATATACAGGGTGATTTGTACTCAGTGTGACAAAACTTTTTTGGTATAAGTACAAAGTAAATGAAGTGTGATGATGCATATCAAATGTTCCAAGTCTAAAAATTAGGTTCCCAAAAAAATTTTTTATGTTTTTCAAAAATAACCATGTTTTTAAACCAAATAGCCTACAGCGATTTCTCAATTACCTGTATATGGGTTTGAGTAGATAATGTAATTTTCGTGTTCTACATTAAATTTTGAACAAGAATAATGGAAAATGACGGAGGATCAGTTGTAAAAACTCCATTGTAAATAGATTCAAAGATAAAAATTAAGATGTTTGATAAAAATTTTAAAAACAATGGTCTATTGCATTTTTCACACCCTGTATACAAGAAAGTGTCGGAATATGTTAAAAACTGCGCCATTTTATAAGCTTTCCAACGATATGCTACACTATTGACGTTTATGTCTGCTTATGTACGCTTTAATGGTTTGAAGACTACAAAGCATGGTGTCTTTAACATTTAAAACATAGAAAGTCGGCATGTATTAAGCAAAAGTTGTATTTTTGATTCAGCTTGAACAGTAAAAACAGTAAAAAAGTTCTTTGTTTTCTGGTATTTAAACCACTAAAACAAACAAAAAAATATCTAAACCTCAATAGTGTAGCATATGGTTGGAAAGCTTATAAAATGGCGCAGTTTTTAACATATTCCGACACTTTCTTGTATACAGGGTGTGAAAAATGCAATAGACCAATTTTTATCAAATATCTTAATTTTTATCTTTGAATCTATTTACAATGGAGTTTTTACAACTGATCCTCTATCATTTTCCATTATTCTTGTTCAAAATTTAATGTAGAACACGAAAATGACATTATCTACTCAAATACACATACAGGTAATTCAGAAATTGCTGTATTAAGTTTAAAAGCATGGTTATTTTTGAAAAACATAAAATAATTTTTTGGGACGCTAATTTTGAGACTTGGAACATTTGATATGCATCATCAAACTTTATTTACTTTGTACTTACATAAAAAAAATTTTCTCACACTGAGTACAAAATCACCCTGTATATAAATTTTAACGAATGGTGTTTTTGGCCACTGGAGACATCAAAATGAAAAAGTAAATCGGTCCCATGCCTAGGTCTTACAGTGCTACCTACGGTAATAGCTACTTCGCTAAAAGGTTCTTAGTAGAGTAGCGAAAATCTCCACAAAACAAAGTTTTTTTTTCAGAAATTTCTCTTGAATTACAGTACCAGTAATAAAAAGTATAAACTTCTGACCACAGATATTCCTGTAACAACAAGCAAGTTTAGTAGCGCTACTTTGGATCCTGGTTCTATCAATCAACAGTGAAAGGTAGGTTGGGTGATTTTTAACTTGGGTAGTTTTGGATTTAACACATACAGAGAACCAACATTGTTCTTTTTGGGACCATTTCTTACCGTCAATAAGGAACTCTTAAGACATAAATTGCCCTGATCGTTCCTTTACTTAAACCCAGTAAATACATTTATTTAGTCTTACATCTGTAGTGTAGTACTGCATATACACCAACAGGTTGCGCGGATCTAAATTACTAAATTCTGTTGAATACACAATGTTTTTTACAAAGTCAAACTTAGGAAATGATTTATGTTGATCTAAAGCAACTGTTATTACCCATCAACCCAGTCAGCAACAAAAAATCAGGTGTAAAATAGAATTTTAGATACTAGCGCATTCTGTGACTGGCTCACACAACTAGTTCTTTTTTAATAAAACATTGGGGACAGCTGGTCCATATAGATAGGTCTACTTCAGTAATAGTCAATGATATAATTAACCAATGGGCACAGTAAAACCTTTGTAAACGAGATCTGTGTTAAACAGTTTTCAATGATTGATCTTTAAAATTTAAAATCTAGATTGCACCAGGCATATTTCAAGAGGTGCAGAAAAAGCCCGATTGCAGTCTTTTGTTTTACAAACACTGGAAATAGCTTCCGTACTATCCCTGTCACACAATTTACTAACAGGCTAAAATGTAACTTTCTGTTGGTTGGAAGGAAAATAAAAGATACATTATATTGAGATGTTATATATTATGTCTATTTCAACCCTTGAACATCCTATTATATAGTTTAAAACCATGAAAAATTATAAAATACAAAATTTAAATTCCTAAATGATTGATGTGAATTATATACAATTATGTCAAATCTATGGTTTGTTATTTACAGAACACCTAAATAATAATGTTTTGCCACACTACCTAGTAAAAAACTGGTTTACTCCATACCGGAAAGTAGAACAATACCCCACCGCAGCAAACTTGCTGACTAAGCAAATTTCAATCTGCCTGAATTGATTTTCAATTAAATTTAAATTAACATTAGGTTTAACAAGTACCTAGGTTCGTTGCTAGAGGGAAACTAATTAATATAAGTGCGGTTTTTTGTCAAATATTAATAGCTCAGTATTTAAAGTAAATAATTTACCAAGTTTGATCAGAATATATCCATAAGCAAACTAAAACATTTTACAACCTTCTCCATATAAATAATATGGGAATTTGTAACTTAAAATTTTTTGAATTTTCTCTGTTACCAATAGCTATATAAAATACCCCCGCCGCAGCAAACCTGCCGACTAAGCAAATTTCCATTTGTCTGAATTGATTTTCAGTTAAATATATTTTAATAACATTAGGTTTAACGGGTACCTAGGTTTGCTGCTACAAGGAAACTAATAAAGTGTGTTTTTGAGTAAAATATTGATAGCTTAGTACTAAATAAATAAATTTGCCAAGTTTGATCAAAATATATCCATAAACAAACAAACTACAACATTTGACAATATTCTCCATAAGAATAACATGGGAATTTTAAATTTTAAATTTTTTTAATTTTCTCCGTTACTAATAATCGAACAAAAATACTTTTATATACTAAATTATTTGTTTTTTTAAGCTCTTTAAAAAGGTCTAAAGAGAAATCGGGAAATTTTGTGTTTTGAGGGTCAAAAGTGAGAAAAACCAATTTTACCCCATAAAACCCCCCGTAAAGCCCCGTTCCCATGGTCCGACCGTGCTGGTTCGCGAACTCATTCAAGTTTATCCCGCTTTACACCTTTAAACCAAATTTCATCAAAATCGGACAAAAATTACTCAAGTTATCGCGTTCACGGACGTATATATATATATATACACAAATTTGAACGAATGGTGTTTTTGGCCTCTGGGGACATCAAAATGAAAAAGTAAATCAGTCCCGGGTCTAGGTCTTACCGTGCCACCTACGGTAATAGCTACTTCCCTATAGGGAAATTCGCTAAAAACAAAAAAACACTTAGATATACTACATCATTTGTTTTTAAAGCTCTTTTAAAAGGTCAAGAGAAATATTTGGAAACTTTGTGTTTTGAGGGTCAAAAATGTGGAAAACTAATTTTTAACTCATAAGACCTGCTGTAAAACCCCGTTCCCATGGTGCGATCATGCTGGTTTGTGAGCTCATTCAAGTTTATCCTGCCTTACACCTCCAAGCCAAATTTAATCAAAATCTATCAGAAATTACTCAAGTTATTGCAATCACGGACACATAGCCTATAGGCCTACCAGTATAGTATATATATTTTTTTAATAGTTCTGTTCACTTTTTAGGGCTACTTTTTCAATTAATACATGAAATAATAAAAACCAGAGTACCCTAAAATTCATTTTTTATTTAACTTTTAAATAGGCCTACATAAAAATTTGAACAAATGGTGTTTTTGGCCTCTAGGGACATAAAAATAAAAAGTAAATCGGTCCTGGACCTACGTCTTACTGTGCCACCTAAGGTAATTTTAGAAAATTCCCTAAAGGGAAATTCGCTAAATAGGGACTGGTAAGTCAGCTGAAGCTCGGTAAATTTGCCAGCCAGTTTTGTATTAGGTTTTAAACAAAGCAACCACTCCCGCACAAAGTTTTCCATGTTTTAAAAGTGGCTCAATCATAGAAATATTAGTGAAGTTAACAATGATTATTATGTATGTTTTACATGTCTGAATTAGCAAAAGAGTGTACCGGTATGTGAAACTTGTTGACGGCAGTATGGCAAATAATGTTATAAGCGACTCATCCAGGAAGATAACAGTACTCACATGAATTGTCGTGCCCGACAAGCCCCGCAGGGGAACTATCATGTTCGTACCATAAACACCTACTTCTCGACATAGTAGCGTATGGTAATAAAAAAACATTAAAACAATTGCTAGTATCGTGACTCAAGTTTTCTTCAATCATCCAAACTCATCTCCAAGGCAAAAATTTCACTCAACACCTCAGATTTCCTATTGACTTTCTCAAGTTGATCTTTGTCTGGCTTCTTGATCTCGCCAGCTGAAATTTTTGCCTCGATTGTTTCAATTTCTCTGAGTTTTTTCTTTAGATTTTTCAATCTCTTGGCAGGATCAGCTGCAGCCGGAACTGCATTTTGAGCAACTGGTTCAGATTTTGAAGCTTTTGCACTTTTAGACGGGACCGTTTTCCACTCATCACTTGGGTCAGAAGATTTAGTTGTAATATTAGTACTTTTCTCTGGCACATGTTCGCTAGTGTCATTTTCCCCAGTCTTCTTTTTTTTCTTTTTCTTTTTACCTAAAAGATTATCATTGGATATTAATTAATTACTGGATCAATAGCTATTTGTTTTTGTGTGTAAACCTGATTTAATTGAATAGATAAATATTAAAATAGGTTATTGAATTTATTTAACTTGAATTGGAAGTTACATACAATTTTAGGTTGTCAAAAGTTGTCAGTAAATTAAGGTAGCCTATAAGTTTACAACTTTTAAAAAAATTCCCTGACTCTTAAGAATTAGTAAATGGGGGCTGATCATTATAATCCAATCACAGAACAACATTCAAAATTTGCATTAGCGTCCATTTGCTCTGACATTGTTAATAGCCACCACAATAAAGTTAGGCCTACTGAGGGCTGCATAGAGGTGGTGATCAACTAGAATGAAGTTAAGAACATGTCATCAGTGGCAGTTTTGATCTACCGGTACCTTATTGGATATGATGAATACCTTGATATACGGACATCCCTCGTCCTATGATTCATTAACTCCATAGTGTTACATTTAAGTTGTTAGTATTCACTTTGTAACTTTAAGGCTAAACAACTTGTATGATTTCAATCCTGAATACCCCTACTGCAGCAAACCTCCTGACTAAACAAATTTCCTTGCCTGATTGGATTTTAGCGTAACTAAATTCAGTCTTAGTCATAAGCTTTTATTAAATAACAGGCCAATTTAGAGAATTTTGACTAACTTCCATAAATAGTCTTTGAAATATTTTGCAACAGCTATAGGCCTACCTACTTTAACCCTCCGAGTGTCCCTTGTTTTGGCCTTAATGTCTGCCTATTTTTTGCTCATTAGCAAGGTTTTATTAAAACTGATCCGAGAAGCTTGAAAACAATGTTAATTATACTGTTCTATATACCATTTTGTTTGGAAAATCATGGGCTTCAATATTATAGGCCTACATAAAACATAAGGAACATTTGTTTCAAAAAAAATGTTTAGGAAAAAAATATTTTGGAAAATTAAAAAAAATAATAAGTTTGCGCTCAATGAAATTGTATAAATTATAGGCCTATAAATATTTGAAAATAGTACATATAGCGTTTAGCTAAGAATGCATAGCCTAACCATAGCTAGGAATCTGGCTGATAATTTACATCAATATCACTACCTACTTCTTCAGGATCATAAACCAGCCCTTCAAAATCACTTAAATCTTCTTATATTGCACCACGTATATCACTACTTTTGATTTTTAATACTAAAACAATGATAAACGTAATAAAACACATCAGTCATCGGTGCGAGGTTAACCAAGCTGTTTACAAATACGCACGTCAGCTGTCTGCTACAATATTTTCGGAACTAAAATGAAAAGCGCTTAGAGACAGACCTCCGGAGAAAGCTCTGAATCTGACAAATAAAACGATACCTAACTCGATCCAGTTCAATCCGATTTTGTCAGTCATAGAGCCTTCGCCGTAAACAGTGTTTGTGAGTCGATGCAGCGACACAAAGTGTGTTATGTGTCGCTGCAGCGACAAATAACACTCGGAGGGTTAAAGGATAGGTACCGGTACCTATATATATATTTTTTTATTCCAAATATAATAGGTACCTCAAAAGCTTGTCAGAAGAATGTAGAATAGTCAATTTAAACTTACCATCATTTTCAATTACAAGTCCTGGAATGGGAGACTTGATTTTAGCAGCTGCTGCTTTTGCTTCTTCTCGTGCTTTGATGATGGCTGGGTCCAAACCCACGGGATACTGTCGGTTCTGGTTGTTGGCCCATTGCTTTCCTTTGCTCTCGTACAGAGGGACTTCCTCTTGTGGAACGTAGCCTTCCTTTACTCTGCGAGGTTTCCGCCAACTACCATCGGGTCGTTGAGAAGCTGGTATGAATGATCCTAAAAACAAAAATGACTTGTTTTTTTCAGTAGGGTAAGACAACTTTAGATTCCAATTAAGAATGCAGAGCTGTTAAAACAAAATAACAACTGAGCTTTTAACTTAAAACAATTTGCCGTTCAAGTAAATTTAACTTATTCTTGACAGAATAAGTCATATGAACTCATCTAATTTTACTTTGTACTGTCAGTTGCAATGCCTACAACATTATCACTTCAGTTTGAAAAAAAAAAACCCTAATCGTAAAAACTGTTTTATAGGCCTAAGTTATGTTATGTGGGTTATAAGGTACAAAAAAGGGGAATGTTATCCTCAATGTTCTTGACTTGTCAATGTTCAATAACTTCTACAATTTTTCCAAATAGGCCTACCAGTAGTGTAGTTGGGCCTGCCCCATATTTTTATGAATGAATGTATCTAACTAGAGATGAATGTTAATAGATTTTTTAAGTTAAGGCCTAGTGATGTGCCTGTAACTAAAATTATAATATCAATGACATTCTCTGGTTAACTTATTATAGTAAGACTTTCATTGTCAACTACCACAGCAAGTTAGAAACTGGATAAAAATAGGCTAAATTTACAGTAAGTTGCCTAATTCCTTACAATGATTACCCAGTAAGTATTTACCCGGCCCACATCCTTACCTAAACGTAATTGGGCCTAGGCCTAGGCCTAGTTTAGTTTTTTGTGATAAGTTATGGCCCACTGCCAATGTTTAAAAAAAAACCTTTAATATTGTGGAAAGTTGAAGCAAAAAGAGGGATGCGAGAAGGCAGTGGGAAAGTGCATTAGGCTTGGCTAGGTTTAATCACCATAATAAAACAGTCCAAATACTTAGTTAGGTCTATAACTTAATAATAGCAGCCTACATAGGTTTTAAAGGCCTAAGAATGTCTTGCCAAACTCATTCAAAAAACACAAAACAAATTCAAAAAATAATTCGATTACAAGTTTTTTTTTTATCAATAGGCCAAAATTAAGTACGGTAACTTACCACCTAAAGTTAAAATGCTCAAATAATTGTAGGTTAGGTATGTTCATAATAATGATCCTAGCCTAGGATACAAAGTGAATCCGTACCTTGATCGGTTACTTCAACAGTTCTGGCCATTGCCATTTTAAAGGCTTTAAATCATTATTTGACTTAGTACAAAATGTAAAATTCCATGAATAAAACCCCAAACAATGTTGTCGCTACGCTCACGCTGTAGTGTGTTGTTGTGTGCTGTGCTGTTGCTGTTGTTGCCGCTGTTGGCGCTGTTGCTGTTGTTCTTGTTGGTTATTCTGTTCGTTCTGTTCTGTTCTGATCCTGATCTGCATTCTGCATCTGCATCCGAGTGAGTGTAGGGAATGGGATGATGATGCCCTCCACTCCAGTCTCCAATCTCAATCTCCTCCACTCCAGCCTCTGCTTCAGTTCGACTTTAGTCAGACTAGCAGCTCAGCACAATTTTTATTTCAGCTGCAGTTTTTTAATACGGACAAAATAAGAGTTTAAAAATTAGAAATTAAAAAAAAATTATAAAAATATAAAATTAATTTTTTTAGTTATAAAATTAAACTGTCATAACCTAACCTAACTAACCAAACTGGCTGATAATGAAAAATTGAATGAAGGTTTACTGAACGAAAGAATAGTTCTGTTCATAAAATAAAACTATAAATGCCTCAAATTCAATTTTATAATTTTTTAATCATAAAATTAAACTGTCATAACCTAACCAAACTAACCAAACTTAATGATAATGAAAAAAATTGAATGCATGTTTACTAATCAAAAAATAAGTTCTGTTCATACAATAAAACTATAAATAGCTCAAATCCAATTTTATAAGGTTTAAATTATAAAATTAAACTGTCATAACCTAACAAAACTAACCAAACCTGCTGATAATGCAAAAATTTTAGACAAAAAAATTGTGCCCTCGATGGGATTCGAACCTGGTACCACCAGATTCTTAGCTCGTCACGTTATCCACTAGACCACACCGAGGCCGATGGCTCTTACTTAACCGTATTGTTGCGGTAATGGTGTTCGAGAGCCAATAGAATTGTGGAAAAAATGTTCCCTTTGCATTATTTTGTAATGCTGGAACTGCAACGAGAACGGAATGTGACGCCATTTTGACCTGCGAATAGTCACTTTGATCTGACGTCACTTGGATGGCAAACAAAAGATCACCTGATTGTAACTGTCAAATTAGTATGTATTTGTTTTGTTTTTTGTTATATACATAAAACATATACATATGCACCCTATGGCACATTCGCCATTCGCCTATTGGGTCTGATGATGATTGGAGTGTCCAATCGAAATCGATCACCACTTACCATCTTTTTTGTATATTTACCGTCTTATGAGTAACAGTATAAGCGTAAATATATGTTCCAAGTGTTACAAGACGTATCTTTAATTTACTTTCCGTAAATTTAATAACACATACAATGCTGATCAAGGAAGTTATTTAATACCCCCGCCGCAGCAAACCTGCAGACTAAGCGAATTTCCATTTGCCTGATTGGATTTACACTAAAATGCCTCCTTAAAAATATCACATTCATTCCCTATTTAAATAACATTAGTTTAACGAGTACTTAGGTTTGCTGCAACAGGGAGGGTAAAAAGGTGTTTTTGTAAAATGTTAATCGCTTAGTATGAAATGAATGCATTATCCAAATTTGATTAAAATATGATCATAAACAAGCAAACTACAACAGTTTACTTATTCTCCATAAGAATAACATGGGAATTTTAAATTTACAGTTTTTTGGAATTTTCTCCGTAACCATTAGGCGCATAATAACGCTTCAATATACTAAATTATTTGTTTTTTTAAGCTCTACAAAATGGTTTGGAAAGAAATTGCTAAATTTTATGTTTTTTGGGTCAAAAATGCGAAAAACCTATTTTTACCCCATAAAACCCCCCGTAAACCCCCGTTCCCATGGTCCGATCATGCTGGATCGCGAACTCGTTCGAATAAACGTAGGTTTACACGTTTGTACCAAATTTCATCAAAATCGGATCATTTTTGCTCGAGTTATCGTGCTAACGGACACACACACATATATATATATAAATATATATATATATGAATTTGAACGGATGGTGTTTTTGGCCTCTAGGGACCTCGAAACGAAAAAAAAAATTGGTCCCGCGTCCAGGTCTTACCATGAGTACTACGGTAATAGCTTATTCCCTATATGGGATATTCGCTAAAATTAAACTGTCATAACCTAACCAAACTTGCTGATAATGCAAAAATCTTGTAAAAAATTATATATATATATGAATTTGAACGGATGGTGTTTTGGGCCTCTAGGGACTTCAAAACGAAAATGTACTTAAATCGGTCCCACGGGTCCAGGTCTTACCATGAATACTACAATAGCTTATTCCCTATATCGGGAATTCACTGAAAGGTGAATATAAAAATTTACTTGATCATTTAAAATTTAAAATATAGGCTATATTACATTTAGAGGTGTAATCTATACTTCTATATCTATACTATCTATATCTATATCTATACTATTATATAAAAATCTAATGGTGTCTGTATGTGTATTACTAATAGGTGCAAAAACTACTGAACCAACTGGGCTTAAATTTTACAAAAATATAGCTACCATACCAAGGACCATATTAGGACTATTCACATTTCGATAATGACCGTAGGCTTTGCCCCTTTGGCTTTAAAAGTTCTGAGGAGAGGATTTTAAAAGTAAATATTGATTGGTCTCCATGGCTGCGATTAGAACACTAATAATGAGTTTTTACATTTGCTTTGACATTTCAATGTAAACAAGGAGAACTGAGCTAAATTGCATATTTTACAATTGCAGACAGCTGATACAAAGAGGTTAAATATAATATTTTTCCATAACTATGAGGTAGGTTTATTTTAATCTAACGTTTCATCATGGATTATTTATTATAAAACTGTCAATGATTAAAAAAAAAAGATTCTATAACCGTTGCTGTATCAACTCCGGCTCTGCTTTGGATTTTTCTAAGCGTCTAAGTTATGAAAATAATGTTATTGATATGTTTTCATGGAAAAAGTATGAAAATTACAATGTATAGATGTTTTGTATGAATTTGGAGGCTACTTTAAATAAATTTGAACTGCTTAACATGTGTTAGATTAACTTAACATAACTTGCATATCACATTGTTTTTAATATGTATATTTAGGTAAATTTAGTAATTGTGTTTTGCTAAACCTATGCTTAAATTAAACTAAAGAATATCATCAATAACCAAATTGTACATCATTGATTTTTGTGTTCTAAAATTTGTTGTATATGTGTAACTATGTTTAATTATCAAATGGTAATAGAAAATACTCTTATTTTATCTTAACATAGCTTTCAGTTCACATTTACTTTATTTGATAAATGTATTGTGTTTTGCCTCACCACTGATTAAATTAAACCAAGGAAAATATCATAAAACTAAGCAGTACACAGTGTTCTTTTGTTTCCAAAATCAATTAAATATCTGTTACTATGTTTCCTTAATGGTAAGTGTGAAGATTTAAAGGCAAAGGACGATGGAACTGATTAAAAGAACTGGTTTGTGCATTGTTGTTTGTTGATATTTTTGTAGATTAGAATCAGAGATGCAATGAAACATATACTGTATTTGCTATTACATTTTTTAGTCCTCGATGCTTTGATAATCATATTAGTTCTGTCTGCGGTGTTTAATGCTAAATGATTTGTTTAAAATTTTTTATAGTATGGATATAGTTTCTTTAATATTTCAAAATACTGTATTGATAAGGCACAACAATATTTCTAAAGTTTATAACAGGTGACTTAGTTTTGCTAATGATTTATTGTGAGTGAAGAAACTGAAGATGGAAGGATCTGTGATTTAATATAAAGAAAAGTGAAATTAAAAAAAATGTCCATTTACATTTAATAATTTGTATTTTTGCAACTTCAAAATTGAAATATATAATGTGATATATAAAAAGATATGTAATTAAGGGAGTAAGGTAAATTGTATGTGTAAGTTTTATTCGAAGATTTGGTCAGTTTTTCTCATTTCAGCCTACACAAGATTTAAAATTAATCAAAACCAAAATGGTGGTCCACTACTTACCAGATTTAAAAGTCATAACTTGAACGTTTCTATTAAGACCATAAAAGTTGAATTTTGATTCTAAAAACGTTGGCGGATGTGTAACTATTACTGTATATGCAACAGATGTAAAGATTAAAATGTTTCTATTTTGTGTCCTCTTCCCGTTGCAAAGCACGGGTACAACAGCTAGTCAATTATATATCCATCCAGGCGGTATATATACATACACACAAATAATTGTTGTAGAGACTGAATCAACACGAAATCTCACAAACTATGATTCATAATAAATAATTCATATTATGGTACCTATTTTTCTGCATATCCATTATTTCAAGGGGGGCCATTATCCATTATTTTCGCCCCTTGGTGGAGACATTCACAATTAACCACTGTACATGGTTTGATCCAGGAATATCAAACACAAATAGAAAACTCAACAGAGCAAATAAATATAAATTATAATAAAAAACAAACAAAAAAACTCAACAACATAACAAGCAGTATTACTGGGGTAATGGTTTACTAATGATTGGAGAATAAAATGATGACTTAAATAATGAAACTAGGAGAAGAGGGCATGCTGCAATTGTGGAAAAACAAATGTATAAATAATGAACACAGCAAACTATCCCCATACTCTGCTTTCACCCGCCCAATACAGGAACATTAACAGAGCAAAATTGACAAAAACCGAAAAAGATATGTTAAAAATAATAAGTAACAAATAACAATAGGACAGACTAGGCTTCGGTGGCAGGGGACCAGGATGCGGCTACAGTACGTCTGATGGCTGCTAGGCTGTAATGGAAGAGCTCCACTGACGCAGATACGTTGTTGCCGGAACACAAACACAGACAGACAATATGGAAACCACAGTATTATAGTGTATAAGCCTTGGAGGACTGTTCCGGAGGTAACTTCTTCCTGATTGCTCCAGCTCAAATAAATGCTATTCCCTTAGTCCTGGTGGGCACCCTGGAATTGATCTTCTCCATGAGGTAAAGGCAGAATACCTTACTGTTGAGGAGCTTGAAGAGGAAGGGCACACCTGCTACTCGTCTTCTTTCTTGTAATGGCTGAAACCCGTAGGATTCTGAGACGACATCATTTGAGACTCTCACAATGGGGTGTTGATACTATCTTTCAACGTACGGATGAT